TTAACGCTCACTGCAGTCGTGCTGAAGCACAAAAGCAGTTCGCGCACCAAGCATGGGCAGATGCTCGATTGCGCAAAGCTCCGAGTACTCGGAATCTGATGAAAGCTTTTACTATAGCTGCCAAGAAATGCAAAAGCGTGTTTCGTAGGGCCAAGTTCGACCACGTGCGCCGCATAGTGGCCAAGCTTGCCTCTCATCCAGCAGGTAGCAAATCCTTTTTGTCCCTGGCAAAAGCGGTCCAAAGTAACTTTTGTCACCCATCAATGCGACCTCTGCTGAAATCGGATGGCACGCTGGTCCATACTGCAGAAGAGAAGGCGAATCTCTTTGCCTCACTCTTTGAAGAGAGTTCGCGTCTGGATGGCGCAGGGAACGTACTACCTACCTTACCTTAGGCTGACTGCGCTGTGGTGCCAATTCGCATACGCCAAAAAGAGGTACTTAAAACTTTGCGGAAACGTGACGTGAATAAAGCTCGCGGGCCAGATGGAATTCCAGCGGTAGTCCTACGTAACTGTGCGCCTGTGTTGTCTCCTGTTCTCACACGCCTGTATCACCTCTCACTTGCGACTCTCACGCAAGCGTAAGCAAGCTTCCATGTTATGGGCTTCCCACTGACCTTTGCAATTGGATCTCGGATTTATTGAGTGAACGTTCTATTCGAGTGGTCTTAGAAAGCTACTCTTCCGAACATATGGCGATAGATAGATAGATATACAGATAGTTCCTCAGGGTTCCATACTCTCTGCAACTCTCTTTTTGCTGCATAGCAATGATATATGTTAATTCCAGGTGCCTTTGCGTATGCTGATGATAGCACAGTTGTAGATAGGTACTTGACCAATGCAATGGTCAGTGGAGAGGAAATCCTGTCTTGTCGAGAGTCCATGATTAGCCGTTTAAATTTAACTCTCAAGGCAGTCTTCGATTGGGACGATGCCAATCTTGTCAAATTTAACGCTACCAAAACGCAGGCGTGTCTATTCTCCACAAAACGGATTCCCTTTGAACTGACTCCGACTTTTCGTGATATATCCATACCGATAATCGACCGTCTCCAGCTATTCGGAATGGACCTGTGGTCCAATCTGAACTTCGGCAGATATATTTAATTTATGGCCAAAAATGCAGCCAGGAAGCTTGGCATCCTTTCCAGGGTGAGGCGTTACTTCACACCGAGACAGTTGCTTCAGCTGTATCAAGCACAAGTCCGGTCGTGTATGGAGTACTGTTGCCACCTTTGGGATGGCTCTGCTACATATCAACTGGCCACCTTGGATTCAATTGACAAGCGTGTCATGAGGCTTATAGGTGACTCGGAATTAGTAGAGGCGAAGATGCAGACCCTTGAACACCGCCGTAAATTTGCCTGCTTGTCGATTTTACAGAATATATCACGGAGAGTGTGCGATGGAATTATACGATTTAATTCCGCCTTCCCCTTTTCATCATCGGGGGACTGGGCGTAGTCTTGGCTTTCACCCCTATGTTGTCGATATTCCAAAGATTCGCACGAAGCGTTACGCTTCCACATTTATATGGCGAACAGCTATGGAGTGGAAGTGCCTGCAGACTTATTCCCTGAACTTTATAACATGGACCTTTTCAAGACGAGAGTGAATAAGCATTATCTAGGTGTGCATGTTTCATCGTCGACCTCATCGTTACTTTCCATCAGGTGAGATGGAGATCAAATGCACACTTACATTAGAATAAAAAAATCCGTTCGATCATAGTTTTTTGTGATGCAATCTTTAATACCAATTACTTATTTTGTAGCAAATGGTAGTCCAGTAGCAGTGGCTCTCAACTTTGATGCTCGCGACGAGCCCGAGATTGAGTTATCCGGAGGCCTCGCCAAGATCATGGGTTTCTTAGAGTACGTGGAAGGATCTGTAAGAGACACTATGTTGCCTGAAGGCAAAGGTAATTTTGTCAGTATAGTACGAGTATAAGACCCTTGTTGGACATCAAGTTTAATTAAGAGTTCAAAGTTTCAAATTAATTATTTTTGTTTTTTTTTAAATTAAGTAATGTGTAGAAAAAACAATCATTAGAACCATTGACTTACAATATTAGAACACTTTAATTAAGACCCATCGTTAATAATACTTGTTTAATTGTTCTTAATAATATGTGCTTTTTTAAATTGTACGTTATTGTGCATAATATTTTCAATTGCGTGTTAACAGGCACTATCCTTCACTCGTTTATGATGGCGACAGACTCCAACCTCTCCTCCCGAGATAACGTAGCGGCGATCAGAGCATTAGAACATGCTACGATGAGAATTGCTCGCGAAAGACGTTTTTTGGGTGTCTTTACTACTAACACCAGTCCTCTTACTCAGGTAGTGACTTATTGTCAGCGAGTACAATTATATATTAGTATATATACAATTATATTTATATATATATTAGTCAACTTTTATTGACAACGAGATAGAGGAAATTATTTTTGATAATATTTTCATCCATGACATTCGTCTTGGTTTGGGAGCCATCTTCGTGATAATTGTAGAATTGTTTCTTATTGGTTTATATTCAATCTAGTCTACGCGATTACGAGTTCATCAGCCACTGTTAATAGGCGAGGTTAAAGGGCGAATGTTGAGTGCCAAAACATTTATAAAGTATAATTGTTACTTTTTTATTAATCTTTGTTAACTGTAGATACCTACACCTTTTAGTCATAAATTATGGGAAAAATAATACAATTTTATGTATCCTTTACAGCAACTGGGCACGGATGTGCTGGGCTTCCAGACACTCCTCGATTATCAGATCAACGAGTATGTGGACGCCAATGGTGAGCGGCCATTCGGCAAAGCCCCTGACGATATGAGAGCCATTGTTTGCTGGAAACCTGTTGATTAAATTAGCAATAGAAGCCGCAAAATTTTTGCAAGATGATAATATTGTGATAAGATCAGGATTATAATATATATATATATATATATATATATAACAATAATTCGATCCAAATGAAGTACCTAAAAAACGAAAAGAAGTCGTATTTTCCCTTTGTAAGTATATATATGTTGTAGTTAAAGTGTAACCGGGTGTTAGTGGGCTAAGTATGTGTGAGAGGCATCGAGGACATAGCCAAAATGTCCTCGATGGTTAGAGGCAAAGGGCGAGTAGAAATGTATATTCCTATGCAATTTCCGGTATAAAGGTCACAATAATCACCTCTGTCGTATGACAGATGTATATCTGTCATTCGGAAAACTTGCCACACTGTACACCATTCTACTACTCCTTATTAACGATAGGAAATTTAAACAAGCTAGATGTATGTAGTAGTTCTAGGTTCTAAATTATGATTAATTGGCAAATACAGTGAAATTCCAAACTTAGATTAGTGTGTTAATTTAAATAAGATGAAATTTGAAACCCATGACCACGGGCTATTTCTCTTTGTTTTCGACCTTTGTATAAATAATGGTAACAAGTTAGTGGAGTTATTGCACAAGGAATCTCACTAATGCATTTGATCTACAAACTACATCAACGTCGGCTTGAGGTAGCTGTAAAGTTATCGGCTGCGGTGAAAAAGTTTCTAAAACCTTTCACTAGATGTCACTTACGGCGCTGAAAGCCAAAACACCAGTAAAAAGATCTGTAACAAGAGCACATAGGAGAATTTCGTCTACTCGATAACTTGACCTGTAACTAAATAAGTTGAAGTTTAGTTAGCTTGACATAAGTACAATTATAATTTAAACTTTCCATTTTTAATTTTAAAAACTAGGTTCCTAATTGTTGTTAAATATAATAAATAATTTGGTGAGAAATATAGAATATGTAATTTAAACGGCATATCTGGCCAAATTCGATGTAGAATGTTTAATAATAAAACGTTTCTAAGCAACCAATGATAAAAAGAACTGATGAGAAGAACTTTTTTTAATTGCTCAATGTTTGGGGTTGCTCTGGAATTCAAATAACAATGAAGTAAGTTATTGTGTTATGTAGAAGTAATACTTACCTAGCCAATTATTATAAAGTACTACATATCTCATCTAGCATCAATTACCGATTCTGAAGAAACGTTTGCAATTATTCCCTTCAAATAAAAAAATCATTAGGAATGACATTGTTTTATAAATAATTAATTATTGGACAATGTTATGCTGGTTTCAAATGACTTACTACCGATTTAAAACTTCTATTGAACAAAATTAATTACAGACATGACTTCAAGATTTCTATTATCAATAGCTTAATCGAATTTCGGAGAAGAATATTGAAATAGTGGTAACTGTAAAACAATATGAGGTGAAAACTCTAAAAGTAAATTTTTATTCTAGATCGAATTTGGTTAGAGAGATACGAGCTAAAACGTAGATGTCTTGGGAATTCCTTTAGCAACCCTATCGTATCTAATTCATCAAGCTCGTTATGCTGTGTACAATTTCGTTACAAAAACTGGCATCCATTCTTTTAAGCAACAATGTAAATTGAGCTTTATAGGGCTAACGGATACTAAAAACTGTTTCCTAAATGGACGTCATTTCAATTGTAACCGAGAACTAGTTTTGATAGTTTTGCATTATTTCATCATAATCATTATCCTGGTAGTCTATAGACGTAGGCCTTCGTCAACGTGCGCCATTCGCCTGGCCCTAATCTTACGTTCATCTTTGCATTGTTTACTTATCATTATTAATTTATTTAATATGTACTGTTTTCATGTTACATTAAATTATTATAATGCGCACATATACTGTAGATCTCGTATTTAGGTAGCCACAGCCAGTTTTACTATTATGTAATAGCACATTAGAGAGTTGTGTATATCTTCTTTTGAATTTATTTGATTAACAACTGTAAGTTCAATAAATGCATGTGTTTGTTAAAATAAAAATTGTTTTTTTTGTTTTTGTTCATTCGTTCAAAATACCACTAATTCGTTCGTTCATACATAAATGAGCCGTTTTCGGTTCACTATACAAATTTTCGATTGACCGAAATTTTTTTTGAGGAAATTTTTTTATTTTTGGAAAATTAAAAGTCTTGTTTAATTTTTTTGTTATAATGAGTGGCGTGGCCAACTGAAACGTGACTGCACCTTTGTTGGTATACCATATAGATGTTTCATGAGTAAAAGAGTTGATTAAAAGAAAACATTTTAATATTTTGCCGTAGTTTTAAAAATTGTGCTAATTATATGTAACTATAAATACTTTGTTACATGTATGTTATAGTTTACATACATCATCTAAATCAAAACAGTTTAAATAGACATTGTATAAGCTAGACTAGAACACTACACGCTAGTAACATGGATATCAATAAGTTAATACGATTGAGAAATAGTTACTTATTATAATAATTTTTATTAGGTCTGGGCTTGACTCTCTGATTTTACACTTGCACATATTTCCTGATGAATACGTGTCCTTCATTAGCAGCAAAAGTCGTCGAAAGCGCGCGCATTTTTATTTCACATTGGAGGGAAAACGGTCCTTGTTTAATATAGTTGAGTAAATATTATTTACTCAAGTACATTAAAAAAACGGTCTTTTCATTTACAATTGTTTCTACAAACTCTTCACGATAAATGGGATACACTATCTGCGGTTACAGAAAACTACAATTCGCACTATTCGTGTATTAAGGGCGCATCTGCAAAATGACAATTTTTCAGGAGACAGCTTTAGAAACTTCGAAAGAATTAGTCGATAACTTTTGTATGCTTAAATAGAGTGTAAAGTTTCACAAATACATAATTTGTGACATGATTTTCGTTATTTTTATGACTCGCATATGGTAAAACCACTTTAGACATATGATCATATGTGCCTTTATTGTATCAAGAGAATTTAGGGATATTCAAGGCTAGAATATGGATATTTTTTACAGAAACGCATACGTGAGATTGTGGTCAACCCTGTGTTTACTTTATGTATTAAAATGTAAAAAAAAACATTTATTTTATAATTACTCATAAACGATTGTATAATAATAAAATAAGGGCGAAATGTATTATGCATCATAAATGGAATCTCTAAACCTCATTCCTTTGGCTTTGTCGGATCCCTTCTTCATAATTAGCCTACCTTGATTAGTAGAAACCCCTATGATATAACTAGAAACATGATATCGTACCCTTGGTATATGAAATGCAAGTCGTAAAGATAATACGAACTACATAAAGCAATATGTATATTTGAAATTTCATTTAACTTTGCTAGTAAAAAATTAAAAAGTAATCGACTAATTTCCTTCATAGAATCTTTTAACCTCTATCCTGAGTTTCATTCAGAAATTCAGTCATTTTGTAGATGTGCCCTTATTACATTAAAGGTGCTATTTTTTCTAACACTATTTCCAACCTACTTGAACGTAGCTAAACAGTAACAGCGCATCCATTCATATTTAGATACACAATATTTTACGGCAGCAACTGTATAAAATAACTTACGGTTTCAAAAATACGTAATATATCGACTTCGTTGAATCTAGCCTGTCTAACAAAACCAAGTCTTGACAGGCTTTCCATCGGCGGAAATTTCATGTCAAATAGATCCTACCATCCCCCCCAATCCATACTTCGAAAGTTCCGGAACATTAATGTCATCAAGATCCTGTTTCATCGAGATGTATCCAGTTGAATCCGGTTTTACAGGCACATAGTCTTCGATACCATCAGTAATATCGACTATAGGGTCTTTAAATTCGAAGTCTGTAGTAATATTAGCCTCGTTGAGAAGTTTTATGGATTCTTCTAGAACATGACGGTGTTCAGGAGTATGCCCTGATGTAGAGGGTGTGGTTTTGTCAGCTGTAGACTTGCGATGATGTAAGGAATTTGTGGTCGAACCCACGTACGGAGGTGGTTGGGGTCTGTTGTAGTTCCCCGCCAGATTTGTCGTTGATTTTGGGCTGTACGGCCGTACCAGGCTGTTGTTAGGGCTGAAAAAAATGGAGTATGTGAAATGTTTTTCTTGTTAAGTGGACTTGTTGTTGTAGCAAGTAGCTCGTAACTAGATACAGATGGACGTGTTATTATAACTTGCAGGTTCTGCCGCAAAAGATTACCATTAATATCTTCTGATCCTTTGGAGCAATGAAGTCTCTTCTGAGTTTGCACGAATGGAGGTTTTGATCTAGTGATGAAAGAGACTCCCTATTAAATACTCGACTCCATTTTACAGGATTCGATTTTTAATTAAGACTTAGAGGTTTTAAGACTAAGTCGCTATGCTAACAGACTTGACATCTTAAGTTGTTTTTAAAAACATTCTCGTTTTAGTTATGCACGATTTTTAAGCTCAAGCTTTTAGGTCAATATGCAATGGAGTTATTCTTTTACGTCCTATTGAACCCAAAGTTTATAAATAAAAATGAAGTAGTGTTAGTATGTTGTATATAATCATGTTTGTTTATAATAAAAAACCATTGTATATTCAACCTTTTGGTATATTACAACATACATTTAATTTGTATCTGGTTGTAGGAATATTTGAACGACGTGTCCTTCGTTACCGTAACTACCGTTCGTTACCGTACTAGGTAAGTTTGATGACTTCATTAGCGCAGCGGTTCTATCGAATTCTAATTCACTCACCTTTATTTACTTACCCCCATCAAAAAGTACTCCAGACTTGAAAAAAATTATGTGAGTGGGCTAAGGTTATAGTGATTATTCTGACAGATTTAATAAAAATATTTTAATTTCCTAAATGTAAATTACATACTCGTAGAGTCCCGTAAGTCTTTTAAGTAATGACTTAGGTTGTTATTATTGGGGTTAAAAGACTAGTCTAGCCGTGACGCGTTCAAAATTTGTCGAGTTTTTTTAATGGTCCTTAAAAGGCTGAGTCTCTTTCATCACTATTTCGATCAACAAATGTCTTTGGACCGTTAAGGCGTAAAACTTTTATGTAATTCTTCTTTTATCTGATTTGCATTGTCAGTGTGAGATTTGCGTATAAAAATGAAATCAATCAATTACTGACCTTGCTCCAATACTTTTGCTGCTGTTATTATCAGCCACTTGAGTTTGTTCAGTGTTCGCTGTGCCGTAACGGCATAGTTCTACCTTTGCAGCTTTGTGAGCTCTATAGAAATGAATGAAAAATAAAACATTATTAAAGCATCAATAACACTGAGCAGTAAAACGTTAGGTACCTACTAAATGGCTACCTTTACTCATGGACATATTTAGAGGAACACTGAAAAAGTTAGAATTATGATCATATAAATTTTCATATAAAGTTCATATAAACCACGGGCCATATATGCAGAACGTTTAATCGAAATCAAAATAAGATTAAAGTCATTCTATTTTCAAATTTTACCATTTTTAACGTTGCTGTTATGGAGCCTTCAAATTAGACGCTATAGCAGCTAGGGTCAGCGGACTAAAGCACATAGTCAAAAAAGTGGTTCATTTTTAATAAATTTCTTTTCTTTTTTTGTTTTTTTTTTTATAAGAACAAGGGACGGGACGAACAAGTCGTGCGCCTGATGACAAGCTATACGCCTGTCCATACAGTTGTAGCGCCACTCAGAGCTTAAATCGCAAAGATCTGAGGGCACTGCCACTGCGCCCGTCCCGGATAACCTGACAACTCCCATCTGTGCCTGTCATTTCACCAGCTCCCTTACCCTTTTAAACAGGAACGCTGTAATGCTAACATTAATGCTTGGCGGCACAAATAGGTAAGGTGGCAGTACGTCTCTGGGCGAACTTTTTCACAAGGAGCTGCTAAAATTATTGTAATGATGTTGGAAGATTTGCAGAAAATGATAAATTTGAAAAAGAAGCCACTAGAATTTAGATTACAAATTAATGAAGTAACGAATGAATTACCTTTTATGTGCTTTAGTCAGTAGAATTGAAATAAATGGTGTTGGTCTATGACTTATGTGCTTTAGTTTACCGACCCCAGCGCTGCAGTGGCGCCACTGTGGCATTGCAGCCGCGGCACTACTAAATTTTCATACAATATTTAGGAACGCAGTACTGTCGTGACACACACGTGCAGTAGCGCTACTTTTACAGTCACTGTTGGTGAACGACAAATTACTGCTGCGCTTCTACGAGCGTCTAATGTGAATGCGTCTCTAAATTTGATTGTAATAAAATATGAATATCATCACGTTCAGGAAACTTATAAAGACCTATTTTTTATATGAAAAGGTTAATATTAGCGTCATTATTTATGGGTTCTAAAGTTACATGTCAGTCTTTAATAACAACAAAAAAAATCCAAACACAAATTAAATTTATTATTGACTAGGACCTACGTGGTCTGTGACTAGGACGTTATGCAGAAATACACCAATACACAACATTTGTACGAAAGAAAAATATATACTAAACCTTAAAATGACCTTTTGTGGGTGGATATCATCATCATCAACCTATTTATACTTACCACTGCTGGACATGGCTCTCCTCTCAGGGAAGGGTTTTAGGCCATAGTCCGCCGCGCGGATTTCACACATTTTCCGAGAGTTGTGAATCTTTATCGACGTGTTTGATTCGACGTGGTGGGTTGATATATTTCTGCATAATGACGTCCTCGGTAATAACCGTAAGTATTATTAGTTTTGGTTTTAATTAAGTTTAACTTTTAAAATTGAACTTTAAAACAGAACGCAAATATTTTAAAAAAGTAATTCAAATCTAAAACATGCTCCCCTGAAAAATCTACAAAATGTCGCTTACGCCTTTTCTATAAAACCCCGGCAACGTTATGTATTGAAACGAGTAATTACTTATTACACAAAAAAATTAAAAGCAACACACACTGCCGTGTTTAAAAGGTAAGTAGATAAGCTTTGTTAGTCACCAAAAATAAAGTTTAAATTAACCTTTTTCTTTCTCTGTAATCAATACAAACATGAAAAATATCTTTTATAAATATTTCTGATGTAGCGTCCTGCCTGAAACGGATGACAAAAAAATTAATAATTTAATTTGCGGATTTTCTGTGCTAATATTTCACCCCTTATATATGTGATTGAGGATATCCTTAAACAAATACAGTTTGAGATAGTGAAAGAGTTACGGCGTCAATAGTCACGAATTACTGAATAAAATTAAATAAAATGTTTGCGAGTTTAGGCTATAGCGCAACAACATTACAATTGAATATATCAACATCCAGATCATGATTGTTTGGCACACTATCCAAACTCTTGCTGGCTCTACAAAGAAAACTATTTTGTCTATAATTAGTCCTCGCTAAGGGAACTGTAAATGGGTGATAGTGTCTCATAGAATGCGTAGATTGTACGTTTTTTTTCAAGTGATGGGATGAACATGTCGTGCACCTGGTGTTAAGCGACACACCTGTCCATAGCAACTGCAGTACCACTCAGAGCTTTAAATCGCAAAGATCTGAGGGGTACTGTCAATGCGCCTGTCACCTTGAGGCATAAGTCGACAAGTCTCATATGCCTGTAATTTCACCAGCACTCTTACCGCTCAAAACCGGAACACAGTAATGTTTACATTACTGCTTAGCGGCAGAAATAGGTAAGGTGGCAGTACTTCCCTGAAAGAAATCTTTTCCAAGAAGCTCTACTGCTATTAAATTTTATTTCTTAATTTTTTTAAGCATTTATTTTCTAATATCAAGTGACGGGACGAACAAATCGTGCGCCTGATGGTAAGCTACACGCCTGTCCATAACAGTTGCAGTGCCACTCAGAACTTTAAATCGCAAAGATCTAAGGGGCACTGCCACTGCGCCCGACATCTAAGACTTAAGTTGACAAGTCCCATGTGCCTGTAATTTCACCAGCACCCTTACTCTTCAAAACCAGAACACAGTAAAGCTAACATTACTGCTTGGTGGCTTCACAAGGAGCTCTACTGCTACCAAAACATATAAACGTATAGGTTTTTCAAGCAATCAGAGAACGGAACTTACATAGTAGCATAATGAAAGCATAAAACCGCAGTCAACGCAGCGACGGACATCAGTAATAGCAGCAATGGTACAGCAACAGCTGCTGTCAACTGTTTTGCGTAACTTCTCGAGGGCAAAGCGTGTCGGCTTGGTGCCGTCCAAATGTCTTTCCTGTCCAACTCTTTTGCGCTTTTGTTTTGCTTGCTTGTATTTGGTATTTCTGTTAAGTATTCTAAAAGTTCCGTTGTTCGTTCATTGTAGATTACGTTGTACTGAAAAAAGAAACATTAGTATATAGTTACTCATTTAATTCTTTTTCGCCATAATTATACACTACGATGGCTGGCTGTGACCATGAGATCTGTAAAAAGCTAGAAATGTTGTTTTTTTGAAAAAACAAATATACCTACGCGATTTTAGCATCGAAAATAAGAGTACCTAATTTTTTTTATAATATTTCATTTCTAACAAAGTTACCTGTTAGGGGACCTTAGTCGTTATATCTATATGCAACAAAGCTACCTGATGGCATGTAATAAGTTACTATGTAGTATAGATATCTGCAGTAACTTACAGGGCAAATTTCATTTTTCAACTTTTACGCCAAGTCGTCCAGTGATACTCGTAATTCGTACCGCGGATTACGAGATTTAAGTTTTTTTTTCATAAAAAGAATAAGTACGCATTTGACCTCCATCTCACCTAATGGAATGTGACTATAAGTCGAAGATGGAACAGGCACACCTAAATAATGGCTATTTAGTATTCACTCTCGCCTTGAAACACAACATAGAGGTGGAACCCAAGCCTACGTCTAGTCCCCCGGTGATGGAAAAGGGGAAGACGGAACTCTCACACTCTCCGTGATATATTCTGCAAATTACCAACAAGCAGGCATACCTACATCTCAGTTTGGCGGGGGTAAACAATTGTTTTATGTAAAATTTTATGAATAAATAAAAAAAAAAAAAAAATTCACGACGGTGTTCAAGGCAAGTTGGTATTTTGTGTACCGATCCCATTCAGTAATTTTGGGAAGTGTTAATTAATTGTCAAAGAGCATTTCTAGAGAAGTTATAAACCTACCAATTCAAACCAACACCAATCCAAAGTGAAACCAGCGTCCCTAAACAATCTCTCGACTGTGGTCCGCTTGTATTCCCTCGGACAACTAGGTAGCTTTGAGAGGGGACGAACTTCCTCTCGAAGACGTTTTAGCTCCTCAGAAAAGGGCATTACACTGCCCAGACGAACTACTAGGCTGTGGAAGTGAAATAAGTTACGTGTTAATTTCAATTGCAAAGACGTAATCGGTATGTAAACGTAACGAATAAGGTCAAATTGTGGTACCGTTGTAAGAAGAATGAGTAAATATAGGTATGCTCGGGTTTTTTAATTACCTAAGATGTTTAGACAAACTATAAAATGTAAATAATATTACCCACACAGATTAGATATATTAAATACTTTACTAATATAATTCTTAAATGTGACAAATAAAACTAAAGGTTTTTGTGTGCTTTAGCTTACCCTTCTCCATCGCTCGGTTTCAAGGGCAACCGGGCTCCCAAATCGATGGCAGACGCCAAAAATGTGGGATACAAATCTTGATTACTCTCTGTCCAAAGCTTTGTACGTAGGATGTCCTTCAGCCGCGTCATTCTGTATTTATGATTTATACACCGATCATTTAGAAATTATTAGACGAACCATACTATGTGACCCAGAAGAAACGTATAAGAAAATAAGTAGTGTAACTCCGTACAAACATAGCACCGCGGCTTGTATGTGTACAGACGCACACATTCGCATTTTCTCGCGGTGCACCCGAGTTGCACCGCGCGAGTCATCGCACACCTCATTCATTATGGAATTTAATCGTTTTCTCGGTGTTCAAAAAATGACGTCAAATAGATGTCACGTTATTGTTGTGTTTATGGTTGTTTGAAGAAAAATACAGATTGTTCAGTATTTAATTTCTGTTTATCCATACTCCCATCGAGATACCAATCCGCGATGTAAAAAATATCAGTATGTAAATACTACATTCAACAACGGTTATTTCAGTATAGCACGAGAACACTGTGATGAACACCTTAATGTTTTCAAATTATAACAACCAATACAACTAAAATAATAATCTCACAACCCTACACTCTCAGAGACGTGTAGGCATTGATGCGCTGAATAAGCGGGAGTAGGACTATAATAATATGTCTTATTATACTATGATAAAACGCCGCACTTGAATGTGAGTTGTAGTTCAACACAGACATCAAATCAAGCGGCATACAAATTTTAGCATACTTATAATAGAAACGTCCTATTAGTTTGGTTAGAGAGTAGGTAATTACCTTACTTATGTGGTTTGTGATGCGCTGGTTTGTGACATGCAATCGCATACAGTCTTATGTCGTGTAGTGTAATAACTAGAGTGAAAAAGAAGAGTTTCGCGTTTGGCTGCTCGAACGGACGGAAGCGAAACGCGCAACGTCTTTTTCGCTCTTAGTGCATGGACAAGAAGCATTTTTTTTACCGATTCGAGCCGATACCGCGTTAATAAATGTGGTGACCGTCTTCACTGTTATAGTTACAGGAAAACGGTCCTGGAAGAAGCCGTGAAATATCTTCAAAATTCAAGTACAATTTTCAAGGACCATTTTCCTGTAGCTATAAATGGTAAAGCGTGAAACAAACAGAGAACGGGTGTGGGTCGGGAGCACGGCGGGTGTAATTCCGTGCATTTATATGGACGACAACAAACCTCGAGCGGGCACTGGACCACCCGACCTGCGCCCGTCCCGCGTGCCCGCTCGTTGCGACGAAATTGCACCCGTCGTCATCGCGCTACCGACCCGCACCTTCTTTCTGTGAATTTCACGCGTTAAGATACTTTTGCTGACCCGTCTTAAATTTTCACACTGTATTTCTTCCTGGTTACATAGTTTGGTACCTCGCTACAATACATATAATTTTAGTATCAGTAGAGCTCCTTGTGAAAGAGTTCGTCTAGGAAAATACCTTACCTATTTCTGCCGCCAAGCAGTAATGTGAGCATTACTGCGTTCCAGTTTTGAAGGTTAAGGGTGCTGGTGAAATTACATGCACAATTGGACTTGTCAACTTGTGTCTCAGAGTGACGAGCGCAGTGGCAGTGCCCCTTGGAACTTTCTGATTTAAAACTCTGAGTGGCACTTCAATTGTTATGGACAAGCATGTCGTTTACCACCAGGCGCACAAGTTGTTTGTCCTGTCACTTATTATCATTAAAAAAATACAAAAGAATATTGGATTATTTTTAGGGTTGAATGTCAACAAAACATTTATCTAGTGTCAACACTCACTTATGTTCGTCAAGCAAATCTTCCGTGTTAAGATTGTCGATTTTGAACTCGACCTCGTGCCGCGCCTTGCCATCCTTCGGTATCACAAGCAGCGTCAGTCGCACGCGACGCGTCTCGTAGTCCTGGCTATTCAGGCCTATTATCTCCAGCTGGAGAAAACCAAAGAGAGAGAGATATATAGAGGAGAAAACGAAAGAGAGAGACATTCACTTTTGGTTTTTAGTTACTTCCATAGTATAATGTTTTACGGGATTCTCATGTGGGGTATAGCGGCAGATATACAAACCATATTAATGTTGCAAAAACGAGCGATTTATTTGTATACCGTTTAGGTTCTCGGGTTTCTCTCAGAGATAGTTTAGGGAGACTGGTATCCCGACTGTGGCATCACAGTACAGTTACGCAAATATTTTGTATGCCCGGAAAAATATACATAATTTCATTAAGAAAGAAGATATCCATAATATTAACCTTAGAACTAAGTCCAAACTCGTGGTACCACGATTTCGTTTAACTATGGCAAACGATTCATTTATGGGGAACTGTATACGTTTTTACAGTAAGATTCTGGTGCATATACTAAAATTATCATTTCCTAAGTTTAAAACTTACATGAAAAGTTTTTTGATTGAAAAGTTATATTACAAAATTGACGAGTATTTATTACATAAAGATGTATGGTAAGACAACACGAGTCTAGATTCCACACAATTATAATTCAAAGTGTATTCCATATCATTTAACTTTATTTGAAAAGAGCAATCCCTAGAGTTTCTTGCTCGTTCTTCTCATGGAAGTCAGTGTAGTGAAGCAGTAGCTTAAAAAATTACGTTTTAAGGTGTAAAAATTTGGAACAAATGATTATTTGACTTTAACTTTAGTCAGTGCAACGGTGTTAAAGTAAATTCGTATGTCGAAAGTAGTGCTGAAGTGTCTTAGAGGTAGACGTGCTCTTCACCAGAATTACAACGTACCGTTTCTGATGACATCACAGCAGTATTTAATAGAGTGATAGACTGTATTAAAATTGGGTTATGGCCGAAGGTAAGACACCTACATATACGAATAGGGCCGATGGTCACCAGAAAAGGCGCGTATTCAACACTATCATTCATTTATATGGCGCGTATACTTACGAATCATCAACTTTGTGCATAATATAGATCACGGAACTAGGGTTGCCAGATCGATACAACTGAATTCCCGCATCAAAGTAATACAACGCGCTAATACATTTGCTCAGCCCGTTTTTCATTAAAATATAAACAAATAAGTATTTGATTTGTTTTATTCGGTATATATAAGAGTTTAATAATCGCCGGAGTCACTATCAGAGTTAATAATCAGTGGTTAAGTTGTTATCAGTGGTAGGTACACACGCTTGATCTATGTTGTCGATTGGTTAAAAAGCAAAGCAACACAGATTTAACTACGTTTAAATGCATTGCGACAGTATACCATTCCATAAAATGATAAAATGTACTTATATATAAAAAAATATTTTACCTTGAAATCGTAGAGAACCCTTAAGAAAAGTACTTACTCCGATGCTCCCATAATGATATAATAATATTAGCTTCTAACGTGTATGGCTATTGATTTCGTCCAAATATATTGGGTAGGTAACTGTAAAAACCGCGAGGTTGACCGTGTGTCAAGAGCACGTAAAGCTTGACACTTACGATTTCAATTCAACTCTATTTCGTTTGTTATGAGAACGACCCAAAACCCAAAATGTCAATCTTGATGTGATCTTGACTGTATGACATTTTACGTCATACATCATACGCGGTTTATATAATTCTCGTGCAGCTTAGAGGATGGAAAAAAATAAAGGAAGTCTAAGGGTCGTATTCTAGAACTCTACTCAATGCTCAAGTCAGGATTGCACTGGAAACACAAGCACTGGAAATACGACTCTAATGGCAGGGACTTGAGTATGATTTCGAGTCATACTCAAAATCTCAAAAAAATCATACTCAAATCCTGACTTGAGCATTGAGTAGAGTTCTAGAATACGACTCTAAGGGTCGTATTCCAAAACTCTACTCAATGCTCAAGTCAGGATTTGAGCAGACTTGAGTATGATTTCAAGCACTGAAAATACGACCCTAATGGCAAGGACTTTGCCTGATGGCAAGGACAAGCATGATTTTCAGTGCTCACTGCAATACTCAAGTCCTGACTTGAGTATTGAGTAGAGTTCTGGAATACGACCCTTAGTCGTGCAGAGTCAAGGGTTATGTCAAATTTGACGTTTGAAGGACGGATCCAAAGTGAAAAGTGTCAAGCTTGGTGTGCTCTTAATTATACATGTACAGGGTCAAGAGCACGTCAAGCTTGACACTGAAGACTTAAATCCAACTCTATTCCGCTTACGATAAGAACGGTCCAAAGTACAAGGTGTCAAGCTTGATGTGCTCTTGACTGTACAAACGAAACTACTCTTGTACATGTGGCAACCCTGTATGTGTAAGGGGTAATTAGGCTTTTTAATAAGTTTCAAACTATCAGTTCATTCATATAAGAATCCTTTGTTTTGCTTTGGCTTCGAGCCCCGACATTTTATGTTGGTTACGTTGGTCTTTTGTGGAATAGAACTTGACCTTATAATCCAATCTCTATCTCAAAAGTGCCAATTAACCTTAAAACGTAAAAATAAACTTTTACATGAGCATACCGTTACGGGTGATTTAGTGCCCCTCGGTGGTGTTCCGAAAATAAATCCAGAATGGTGCCGCCTGCTGTAAATGTACCGCAACCATGACGGCAGCTCTGGTTTGCCAATCAAGGAAGCATGGAACCGATATTGTTGATCGTATTCTGAAAAAAAATGATAAGAAAATTTGTGACAAACAACTTTCAAACATTGCAGAGAGGTATTTAGAATCTGAAATATTCTGAACTTTATTCCTTGTTTATTTTTTGAAGTCAACTTTAGTGCCTTGTCGAAAGTTTATTGATAATACGCACAATGACAACAACGGCCTGCTAAAGGTAAAAACAGGATGTACCTAAATGTCTAAATTGAAAAATAAACAAATTATCTAATAATTTGTGGATCACTTAGTTACCTACGCTTATTAATTTGTTTATAGTATAAAGGCAATTATTAAGCTATTTTCCTCATACTGTGATTAATTAGCAGCCACTAACTTGTTTGTACGCACGTCATATAAATAGACAAGTAGCTACACAAACCTTGATAAGTCCAGTTAAATAAATTGGGGCTGATGGGGATAGCAAACATTTCAGTTTCCACTGCATTATGAACTTGATCTGCAGTTATTGTTGTAAGGAATATATAGCCAGCCAGAATATTATACCACATATTGAACCTGAAATTCAATTATAACACGCATTACTATGATAGCGAGCTACAAAATATTAATGAAGGCCAAAAATAAGACGAGTTTACGCTAGTAGGCGAATATTATGTTTTTCGCGTCAAAATAGAAAACATTTACCTCATCAGTAGAGAAAACCGTCGACCTAATTCACGAGAATAGTAACATAGCAATCGATTTATGTTTACAATGTCTACAGAAGGTTATTCTGTGCACTGAATACCTGCCGCACATGTGCAGTAGGTTCGTCCAGGGAGGAATTGTGATATCGATTTTTCAGGACGCCTCCAGCAGCACGCTACAGAAATATATTAGACGGCTGCCATGTTTAAAAAAACGTGATACTGTTGTTGTTTTTAATCTATCCCAATGTTTTCTATTTACTAATTATATAATTATCAAAACTAGTACGTTTGCATTTTTTTATCCCTATTGTAAATTTTAATTTGATTTAAATCATACATTTTACAATCATGTATGATTTTTAAGTATACTTTATTTACTTAATGCGACTTCTATAATTATAACAAAGACTGGTTCTATTTCTTAGTTGTATCACAGTCATGTTGTCTTTGAATGAGAAACAAATTATATAAGTTTACATTGGCTACATAAAGAACTAGAAAAATGTTCAGGAAAAAAATAAGACTGTCAACTGTTAATGATTTATTATGAGAATGCTATTAAAGTTTCCAGTTTTAACATCTTCCTCGTTTATTTCTAATATTTACGCTAACGATAAAAATAATCAAGTACGGCCCTGAAAATGGGGGCGGTGACGTAAAACATCAACCGACGTCATTGGTTATAATTCTTCCGAATTGGAAAGGTCTTATTCAACGTTCCGTTTCATGATTTCGTTCAAGTTCTTTCATTGAAGCTACATTTATATTTCTGAATTATTAACACAATAAAAAAAATTGTACTTCAAATAGTAACTAACATTAAAGACAATGAAACTCTATATGGATTTTTAAAATTAAATTCATACTTTATTTTAAAACAGTCTCCTAAAACCTGAAAACTACAAAGTCAACTTAATTTGGTTGGTGTATTGTTTACCGCACGGAAGTGGGTGTGAAAAAAATAAATGTCAATCATTCGTTTCACAAATGTCAAACAGGGAGGGCTAGGCTATTTCGATTTAAAATCTGATAAAAATCGCTGTTTACACAGGGAAAAGCAAATGTAACCATAATAATGTTTTTAGTCCGAGTATTAGGCTCGGCGTGCGCGCGCCAGGACGTTTTGGCGTGTAAATAACGTCTCCGGGGCACGTTTAACCTCGTTTGCAATTCGCTGGGTTCGCGACACTGGTTTTCGCATTTAGATCATGTTGAAATTCAAAAAGATGGGTACAGACAAAGTGCCGTTGTTGCTGGTTACTGCTAACGTGGGTTCCATATTCGAAGACGTAAGTTTGCGTTTGTTTTTGTAACTTTTTCGTTCGATGTTGTCAAAGGTAATTAAGGGGCAATAATTGCGTTAATTCAATTAAGCTGCCCACCTAATTAAGAGACTGTTAACAAGTTAATTTTGTCCATTTATTTTTTATTCCATATACGATTTTCTCACCTCGCATAGAGTAAACATGGCAGGCCATTACTTGATAACCATAAATTAGACCCATGACCAGCAGCTGGATATACATATATAGGTTGAGGTGATATTATACAGTCGCTGGAAGTACACGTAAATAGTGAACTTATTGTTATCATGGCAGTTTTTTCTTCACATGCTTATTCATTTATATTTTCATTGTTCATTGTTTTTATGTTTTATTATTAGTTAGGATCAACTTGAATATTTTGGCACCCAAGCAATGATTGATAACATTTGTGCTTAAAGACAAATTTAAACACTGATATTATTGGAAATTAACTAACAATATTTTTAATTGTTTTTAATGGCAGTATCTTCTTTAATATATAACTATACAAATTAGAAATATTTTTCACTTGGTTCAAGAACAAGCCGATAAAAAAATTCTTTAAGAGATGAGAGTTTATTATCACAGATGGTTAAAATGTGACTATATTTATTTATTATGACTTATAATAATAGGTAACTACATTGACTTACAATTATATGGACGTCGGGTCCGCGCTAAAAAGTGTCCGCACTTGTAAGGCGCTAAAATCGTATACAGAGCGCGACACTCCGCTTTAGTCTTAATTTGTTCTACTGACAGCGCGATACTGCGATGATATTACAATTTAAATTTCGAATACGTTGACTTGGGACATTTTTTTCGTGGTTTTTGTATTAGACCCGTCGTCCATTTATTTGTAAGTCAATGGGTAACTAATATGAATTTTGTTATGTTTCCTATTAAAACAAGAACAAGATCAATAAACCTAACATACCAATCATTCGTTAAATTTATCTGTGAGAGGACAAAAAAACCGGCAGTGCTCCGTACTTTTATCATACAAGCAGTAGCTTACAAACACCAAATTTTTACTTAATTTAGATTTTATTTCAATGCTTATTCATTTTAAGGGTAATGAAAATCTATTTTATATTTGTGTACTAATTTAACTGTCATTTTGAAGATTATTGATCAAAGTGAGTGCCAATGATTGTAACATATGTTAATCACTGTATTAGCAGTGGTACCAAACTTTTCAAATTTTTTTAAATTTAGGATATGAAACTATTTTTCTGGATTTAAATAGCGTATATTTGTTTTTCAAACAAACCGTCATTTCGGGCCCTTTACAGGTCTCATGGTCACGGTCAACCGTGACCATGGGTCCTGAAATCCGGAAAATCCGGAAAAATAGTTTCATTTCCTATGTGTAACAATCACAAAAACCTAAGAACTCAATATTTTTAATTTATTTATAGTTATTCGGCATTATTAACTTGTTTCATTTCGTAATCTAATCTTTATTGTACTGTAAAGTACAAAACTCTACATTATCAATATTTATGCATCACATTGCGGAGCTCTGATCTCACCTCAGGTGTGAGTACAGGCCGTAGTCCGCCACTCTTGTCCAATGTGGGTTGGGGGCTTCACGGTTTTCTGAAGGTTTAGAACTTTCTTAGACATGCATGTTTCCTTACAATATTTTACTTCCTGAAAGTCCCATGGTACATTCAATTAAATAAATTGTATAAGTAATTTAAATAAAATAAGACTCAAATAAAAAGCCAATTTTACTGAATGTATATGTTTTGTGTCATTGTATAGTTTTTCCAATGCAACATTTCTATAGTGAAAATCATTACTTATTGATATTACTTTTTCACTTTCAATATACTGGTTTTATGGTACTCCTTATCTTCTCTCAAGTTAATAAGACTACAAGTGGAAACCACTAATTGGCTCTTTTGTTTTTGTCCAAGAAGCTTAACTTGTGAGTTATTTTAGTATACCTCTTGTGCACAAAGTCTGACTTAGATTTCCAGTGTCAGAACTGCTCTGTTTTCACATGCTTTATTATGAGGACTATATTCTGATAAAAAAGGTTTGTCGGAAAACTTTAATAAAAGTCATGGAGGATGTGTGAAGTCTCCAAGTGTGTGGTAGACTATAACTTCAACTTTCTACTTAGAGCAGATCCTAAGTAGAAAGTTGAAGTTATAGTCTACCAAGATCCAACTGGACTTAAATTGTGTTACAATAGTCAAATATGCAAAATAAGCTCAATTATATACTGGGAATAAGTCACAATATGAAGTAAGAAGAATATAAAAGAACAATTATAAAATTTCAAACATATAATACAAAATAAATACTTATAAAACATGCTAGGGTGTTTATTATTAAAAAGCTAAAAACCTAGAAGGTTATTATAATATCTAAACTACATATGTGTATAATACAAAACAACAGGATGTGTCAGTTGTGTGTAAACCAGATAATGTTACACTGATAAAGTAATCCTATACCTCCTGCTAAATATTGTTTTTGAATAATTAATCTCCACATCATTTTGTGATATGTCAGGTTGGCCACTGTGACTAATCAATTCGAGAACCAGCCTGATATCATTTCAAAACTTTTTTGCTGTTTCCATTTCCGAATACCATTAATTAATGTCAGACAACACCAATTATTTGTTCTCAAACTAGGGTAACTTACTCCGTGTCCGAACAGCTGATTTGCCACATAGAAGTCCCGGGTTCGATTCCCGGGCCAGGTGAAGTATTTGTTTGATCTACATTTATTTATTTCGTGAGTTTGTGTGTAACTTGTGTTGTCTTTGTATGTGTCAATGGCACTCGCGACACGGGATTTCCCTCGTCTTCGTATGGGCTTATTTATAATACCAAGGGCTTTTTTATGACACCAAGTGACGGGACACGCCTTTCCATCGCAGTTGCAGTGCCACTCAGACCGTTATATCGCAAATCTTATGTCACCTGAGACATAAGTTGACAAGTCCTTCCCTTCTTTACAACGCCCTTACAGGGTATCATATAATAAGGACCTATAATTATGTTATTTAAGATCTTTGTATACCTTATGTGGAGTAATAATTCAAGTTGATGACCCATGTGCTTGTAATTTTATCAGCACCCTTACGCTTCAAAACTGGAACACAGTAAAGCTCAATTGCTACAAAAACTGCTGCACATCAGGTCTACATTTGAGTTTAATAGTAATTATTTATTGGTAAAAATTAACATTTACAAGTCATACATTTTATATTACATGCTTGCTGTTTTTGTACATTATTTATTCTAGTTACATTATTTCTTCAAAATTCAAATTATTAGTTAAAGTTAATTATATTTATTATATTTATGTAACCAATGTGTTAAATTGATTGCTTGACAAGCCAACGCTTTAATAGATTAAAGCGCTGGCTTGTCAAGCAATCAATTTATCATTCAAATAATTCACTGCCTCCGTGGTCGAACGGTTACAATGCCGGACTGCCACGCAGAGGTCCCAGGTTCGATTCCCGGGCCGGGAGAAATATTTGTATGACCTACATTTATTTCTCTCGTGAGTTTGGGTGTAATTTGTGGTTGTCTATGTGTGTGCCCATGGCACCCGCGACACAGGGTTTCCCTAGTGCGGGGCTATGTTGAGTGTGTGCGTTATTATTATTATTAATAGTCAGTTATTTTACAAGGCAGCTGGGCTCAATATGTGTATTAATTTGCCGGTTTTTAACCGACTTGTAAAAGGAGTTTCTCGATTCAACTGTGCTTTTTTTGTGTCTACGTTACGCTATTACTCCGACATTTGTGAACCGATATCGATGATTCTTTTTTTTGTTGCAAAGAGGGCACCTCAATAGTGGTCCCATTCAAGTTTGAAGAAAATATTCCACCTCTAAGGTTGGCAAATTAGGGGATGAATCCGTTTAATGGATTTCACCAAAATTTCACCCACTTTCCGTTAATCGATTTCAATGAAACTTGGCAAATGGTCGTAATTCTACAAACTTTTCAGGTCAGTTTTTTTTTTGAACGCAATAGTTGTATGTGCACAACTGTAAGCCTCCAAGTGCTCCTAGTGTATCTGTCTGGAAAGCCAGACATAGTGTGCTGTTCTTGTAAATTAATCTTATTACATTGATCTGTTACCTACAACGTAACTTTTAAGAGATGCCCGCTAGAAAAGATTATGTCTAAACATTTATAGTACCTATACTCTTTATCTACATAAACTGGTTTAATAGTCAAACAATAACCGATGGTTAAAACGTTACTTTATTTTAAGCAGTTTTTCCAAGAAACAGTTTCCAAGACAGGCACAACATAAATTCAATTTATTAGTAACGCAAAACAAAATTGAAATTGTAACGTATTGGAAATGAAACTGTTATGTCGGATCTAAATCTGTATATTTGTTTTTTCGCACAAACCAACGTTTCGGGTCCTTTACAGGTCCTATGGTCACGGCTGACATAGTTTCATTTCCTACGTGTCGCGAAAACCTAAAAACTCGATATGTAACATATTTAGTTGGTTAAAGTAGGTACTGCACAATTTATTTTGCGCTGTGAAATGTTACAATTATTTTAGTAGTAGTGGAGCTTATTATTAAAGATTTCGTCCAGGGAAGTACTGCCACTTTACCTATTTCTGCCACCATGCAGTAATTTGAGCAATATTACTGCGTTCCAGTTTTGAAGGGTAAGGGTGCTGGTGAAATTGGACACACACATGAGACTTGTTAATTTGTGTCTCAGGATGATGGACGTATATAGTGGCAGTGCCCCTCAGACATTCGAGATTTAATACTCTGAGTGGCACTGCAAGGGCGCGTTCCCATTATTTCGTGATGACAGATAGTCGTGCAGTTTAAAGTGTCGTTGCATATTTAAATGAAGTTGTTTGTGAACCACTTCATTTATGCGTAGAACAACACGATTAACTGTCGCTCACGACTTGGGCTAGAACGACAGTCGGACACAGGTCGGACAGTCGGAGACAGAAATAAAACATCACGACGAAAATGTGACAACAAATTATCGCAGCTGCGAACGATTCTGTCGTGCAAACGACAAGGCGGCTGCCGTGAACGATAAATTGTCGTCACGATCTAGTGGGAACAGCTAGACACAACACTCGTTCAACGATAAAATGAACGTCCACGACTCAGTTTCGACAGACAGTCCTGATATGGGAACAGGCTAGATGCGACAGTCGTCCAACGATAAATAAAACGCTACAACATACCCCAACTGTCATGCATAGTTCATCTCATCACTTGATATCATAAAAAAACCATAAAAAATAGACTACAAAATTCAGTCGGTAGCTCGTTAGTAGCTTTAGTAAGGTCATTTACTTTTTAGCATAATGTCATTTGTTATAGTAATGGTAAACCTCTAGTTAATGACTTCTAATTCTTACTGCAGCCATTTCCGATTTCAGCCCTCAGTAATGCTGCCAATTTGGACGTCAGAGTTTCTTCAAGCCGTTTCGCGCATGGACCCGAAGTTTATAGCCTTACATCTGCAAGAAGTCGGCGGGAAGGCATACGAGAAATCAATGCAATACGTCAAGGATTTTGTTCAGAGGCTCTGCGATTGCCCTGAATTGAGATTGTATGACAAGATTAGGATCTTTTTGGACGAAGATTTCAGTTCACCGGAAAAATTTACGGTGAGTGAACAGATCGTCTAAACAGTACTTTCCACATCTGGTGGTATAATATGCAACTGATGAGTAGTGGCTTTCACTAAGTATGGCAAATAGCTTCTGAAAGTCTTCTTCTTGGGGCGCCATCTCCTACCGAAGGTTGGCTATCATTATGGCAATTTGGGTCCATGAAGTTGCAGCTCGGAACGGTTCTGTGATATTCATGTTGAACCACTCTGCAAGATTTTGAAGCCATGTGGTTTTTCTACGACCACGTCTTCTGCGGCCCTGGATTTTTCCTTGCAGTAGAAAGTATTTATCACTCCGCATGATGTGCCCAAAGTATTGCAGCTTCCTTCTTTTTACAGTTTTCATGAGCTCCAAGTCTTTGTGCATCCTCCATGCGATGTCATTGGTGACTTTATCCGTCCACGATATTTTCAAAATTTTCAATGAGTGTACTTCTGAAAGTACAAAATTTAAGTCGACGTTCGATACCTATTAAATGGCCTATCAGATGCTATTGATGCCGTGATGGCCTCTAATATTACACAAATTTTGCTGCCTAAGCAAAATGGCGCGTTTACACAGGGTCGGCTGACGCCTTCGTCAGCCGGATTCGGTTGCTAAAGAGGCGGTAATCGACTCTGTCTTAAGAGCGAGGCGACTGCGCCTCCTACGGCAAGGCGAAGTAGTACAATGCAATACAAATAATTAATTGTTTAACAATTAAAGTAAGGAACGTCGTACAGTTAAATTGTGAGTTGGAAGAGTAGTGCCTAAACTAGGTTGGGCTGTACTATTATAGGTCACCACCGGATCTCTTGCATCATATTATGATGTTATTGACAATACATAAGATGTTAAGGGTAAATTGGCATGATGATATAGAAAATACACTAATTTATTTATTATTTAGAGAAAAGGTAGTATGAAAGTTTAGTTTCAATAGAAACATTTGTAAGTTTGATAGGTAAGTGTCTGCTGAAGGCGGCAATCGACTCTGTGTAAGCACGTCATTACTCAATTCCAACCTAACAGTCGCTTACCCCCTTTTACTTTTCAGCCATCGATATACGTGCGTTTGGAGCTTCTTGATTTTTCCAATAAATTACATCTATTTCTCCTCAGGCCCTAGGCAATATGTACTTCGCACACGCTTCACTCACTGACCTCAAAATCTGGGATTGGGACCTCAAAGCGTATGTGGAGGTTTCAGGCAAGGAGGTACACAGCGGCAACATTGAGAAAGTAACTACTAAAGAAAAGGCCAAGTTTCCGCAGCATTTCTTTCCGGAAGTGAGTATTGTATAATCGCATAAACGCCCCATAAACAGACGATTTCTCGTGTCGATCCATGATAGCAATAATCGTATCGACTTGTCGCTATTCCCTTAGCGTTCAAGTTAATCGTTAATGACACACAACGACATATCGATTCGTCGTTTCGATCTGTCTGAAGTAGACGTGAGTCGAGCGAATCAAAATGATTCGACAAGTCCTGGGACCCGATTATTCTAGAGTTTCGATCATTTTTGTTTGACCAACGCTAGTCATGCTCGCAATATTCGACTTTATCCGTATAATTTTACAGGTTTTTCAACAAGTCACATTCTGAAACTGACAATATTATTATTGTCTCGTTCATTCTCACATTAATTAAATCATTAATTAATTAAGTCCCCAACCACGACCCGGTTCGCCTTCTCACTTTGTCCGTTTGGGTCAAACATTTGTTCGATAGAGCCTTACATAAAAAGTAAAACTCTACAATACTCTACAAACTTTTTAAAGTTAATAATATTTTTGCGAATAGATATAAATTGTATAAGTTGTTCTTTAAGTAAAATGGTGGTATCACTAGTTGTAGGTTTCTTACGTCAGTATGACCATAGACCGTGTAACGTTCTGAAATATCGGTAAATAATAAGAAGTCATATCGTATAAGAAATCAGTGATACTCATTTAGCAAATAACCACGAAGGCCTTAAAATCAGCCAATGAATTTACACTCTTTTAAACACCATATGTTGTAGGCTAATTAAATTTATTTAATGAATAACACAATATAATATGATTTTTGTTTTTGGGTTATCAATACCATTTTCTAATTGGTTTTATCATTGTTGCGAACGCAACAGAATTTACACATACATGTTATTTCATCCCTACCACATATTTAACGAACTTTTGTACAATATAACAAGGTCAAAAAGGACGTTCACTTTTGAATTGTACTTTCATAAGAAACAACCACTGTTTTTAGCGATTAATGGCACTACTCATGTAAGCCAGTAATCTATTGCCAATATATTACTGTCAACTATAAATAGTCTCTAATTTAACGAGCTCATCGAGATCACCAACATCTTCTACTTGAGTCTGGCGGCTACAATCGTAAAAACATTAAAAAAAATTATTTCCCTGCAAAAACATTGCTTTTGTAGTCAGGACAACGAAATGTAGTTTGCGTAATGGTAATTAAAGAAATATAAAAATTTTCGGGAATCTTTTTATTTAGAGACAAAAAGGGGACATTGTATGTCAAATATATAGAATACCATATATTTATTTATTTAAACTTTATTGTACAATATACTCAAGTACAAATGGCGGACTTAATGCCGTAAGGCATTCTCTACCAGTCGACCATTGGGCCGAACAGAAAAAAAACAATAGGTCGGTGTTGCACTTAAACATGAAGATCTATACACGTACTAGAAGCTAATCGATAATTTGTATGGTATAAAATAAATGACATGATAGAAACATACTTATTATACATCCATAATAGACTAACAATATACATATATTATAATAATAAATAATATAACATATGTACCCAAAGCAATATTATGCAGAGTCTTGATTTCATGCACATTGATGATAAAGAACCTAGAAATGTGTAGTTTTGCGGGGTTTTGTAAATACCACTATGTAGCTATGTAAATACCACTGTAACGATCTCAAAAACTAAGTTTCAGGAGTATAACTACGCTTTTCTAGATTCTTGCTGCTCAATTAAACAAATCTATACCGTCAAACCAGAAGTAAAACTTTTTTGAAAATTTGATGCACAGTGTAATAGACACAAAGCCAAGTCTTAGGGTCGTATTCCAGAACACTACTCATTGGCTCAAGTCAGAATTTGAGCAGACTTGAGTATGATTTCAAGCACTGGAAATACGACCCTAATGGCAAGGACTTGAGTATGATTTTCAGCGCTCACTGCAAGACTCAAGTCCTGACTTCAGTATTGAGTAGAGTTCTGGAATACGACCCATAGCCTCACCAAGTGTTAAACGACAACGAATAGTCCCAAATTGTACACACATCAAAAATGTCTAGAGATCAAGGTGTTATTTTTAACCAACTTCAAAAAAGAAGGTTCTCCATTTGACTATGTTTTTTTTGTATGTATGTTACGCGATAATTCCGTTTTTGTGAACCGATTTTGATTTTTTGTTGGAAAGAGGATACCTCAGAAGTGGTCCCATTTAAATTTGAAGAAAATATTCCACCTCTACGGGTGGCAAACTGGGGAATTAATGACTTTGATGTCGGTTTTTTAGTACTCTGTACTGAGATTATTAAAATATTTGATTACCCTAATAAAATTAAAGAGAAATAAATTTTGTTCAATTATGATTACATCAATAATCCATTGGTGTTACAAAAACTTGATTTCAGTAGTTGGCTAAAACGCTTTTGATATGTGTAGTTATATATATTAACTTATTAATTATTTCAGTGCAAATGGTCCCGCAAGGGTTTCCTGCGCACACGCTGGATGATCCGGGGCACGTGCGTTGAGTTCGTCAACATTCATCTATTCCACGACGCCTCCAACCTTCTCGCATTGGAGCCTTTTCCTTCTGTAATTATAATCACAAACTATTAAAATCTAACCTTTTCATAACTAACGCATTTGAATTTCGGTAACTTTAGAGATATTGGCACTTAAAAGGTTATTGTCACCTAAAAATTATTTTTTAAATTAATTATTTAATAATTAATTTTGCTTAATATATGTTATGCTTAATAATAAAAAAACTACCTAAATAAAATGTTGAAAAACCTGATTAGAGAGGGTTGTAGATCTGGTTTCATTGATCCTAGATATGTTACATGTTAATGTAGCAGTAGAGCTCCTTGTGAGAGTTCGTCCATGAAAGTACTACCATCTTACCTATTTCAGCCGCCAAGCAGTCATGTGAGCATTATTGCATTTCAGTTTTGAAGGGTAAGGGTGCTTGTGAAATTACAGGCACAAAAGACTTATGAACTTATGTCTCAGATCAGATCTCTGCTATTCTGTGGGTTGCTTTGAGTGGCACTGCAACAATTACTGACAGGCGTGTTGCTATCCAGCAGGCGCACGACTTGTTCGAACCGTTACTTTTTTTATAAAATACTGCTAATAACTCAATTTAACTGCATCCGTGGCCGAACGGTTACCGTGCTGGTGTGGCACGCAGAGGTTCCGGGTTCGATTCCCGGGCCAGGTGAAATACTTGCATAGTATTCATTTCTTTATCTCGTGGGTTTGGGTGTAATTTGTGGTTATCTGTGTGTCCATGGCACCCGCGATACAGGGTTTCCCTAGTGCAGGCCTATGATTGCATTATTATTATAAATTTTACTAAAAATGCCGATTACCTTAGTTATAATAAGGTTGTTAACTTGTCAGGTGTACTGCCGCAGCCGGCGACGTGCGTTACGTCACACTCTACGCCATCTCCATTCTGACGTCAACGCCGCGCCGTACTTCATCTTCGGGGACTTCAACTTTCGAACAGATACCGGCGGAGTTGTCAAGGTACCCTGACTTACTCGTTGATTGTAAAATTAACATAATAACTGTGATTGAGAGTGTGATTGTAACGTTGTACGTACACTTATATTGTTAGTGTAACAAACGAAACATCGTGTGTAATTAGCAAAACTATTAAGTATTTTGTTAATAATTCTTTTTTTTTTCTTCAATTCTTCAACTTCATTCAATTTTAATATTATAATTAGTATGTTATGAGTCTTATGAGTTATCATATATATTCTTTATTGCAAAAAATAAAACAGAAATCTTAGTTCAACAGAAAATGAGCAAAGGTGGACTTATCTCTAAAAGAGATCTCTTCCAGCCAACCCAGGACAGTGAGAGCTAAGGTTATATATAAGTGGGTAATAGCGTACAAGAGAGAATGAGAAAGAAATATAATAAACTGCATAAATAAAAAAAATACCATTACTTACATAAGTATTTTTGAGATATAATAATAGCATCAATATAGTTTCACATAAATGTACACACAATACACAAGTACACATACATATACATAAATAAGTATGTAAATAAACAATAAAATTATTAAAAGAGAGTTCAGCAAGAAAGTCAACCTTTTCTTGAAAGAAGCGATAGACGGGCTAGATTGGATATGGGAAGGAAGTCTGTTTCAATACTGCGCTGCACGAGAAGAAAAGTATATCTGTAGTGAAAACTATCAAAAGCGGTGTTGCACTCAATGCAGTGGAACTACAAACCATTGACTACTTTTGTTACTAGTGTTACAAGTTGGCAGTACTATACTGACTGACAGATCGTTTGGCATTTTCCAACATGGTAGAGTTACCCGTACATCCCTTTTTACCATATCACAGAATAAAATAGTGGCACTGTGCATTTTAGAAAATAACTGAAGAGCTGACAGCATGCCGACTGCAGAATGGCGCTAACGTCGAGTCTTCGAAGCTCGTGTTCAGAGCGAGAGAGGACGATCGGCTCGTGCTCACCATTGGCAAGAAGGAGTTCTCGCATGCTGAACATCAGAAGATATTCCGGGAGCCTTGGGTAAGATATTCTATCAACGTTATCATCAGCCCTCTGCAGGGACAGGAGCGCCACAGGGAATCACATATAATTCAATCGCTTTTTCGCCATCTATCCGTGTATCGTGTATCGGACGAATAGTGTAGCATACTAAATAAGGATGTCCCTTTCATTATTTTTAAAGCAAAATTTTAAGTTTTACGTGACCAAACAAAAAAATTACAGTGAATTAATTTGCTTCTCCGCGAACCAGTGATGGTTAAATACCGCAAATCCAGTGTTGAGTTTTTTGTAATGCAGTTACTTTCCCCACCCTCCTTCTACATAAAATATAAAAATAATAACACAAGCGCAACAGTACAGCTCCTTGTGAAAGAGTTCGCCCAGGGAAATACTGCCACCTTACCTATTTCTGCCGCCAAGCGGTAATGTAAGTGTGCCAGTGAATTTATAGGCACATGGGACTTGTCCATTTATGTCTCAGGGTGACGGGCGCAGTGACAGTGCCTGAGGGGCAAAAAATGTAATTTCCATTTGTTTTAATTAAAGGCTAATAATAAATTGTTGTTTACAGCTGCAACGCTTCGATCGCGAACTAGAAGCGCTGCGAACTCACTTATGGGAGTTCCCCGTCAAGTTCCCTCCATCATACCCCTATGAGGAGGATGTCGCTGCGCCTACCCACTACATGCGAACAAGGTGTTGTGAATGCTTTCGAAAATTAGCAACACGATGATGTTTGTGGTATTTCTACGAAAATTGTACGGACAGACAAGTTGGTTTTTATTAAATAGATAGATAACACGTTTATTCAGCACAAATACAAACAGAACCAAAACATTTACAGTCACTTCATAGAGAATAACACAAAATCACATACACATTATTAATTTAATACACATTTATACAAAACATATACTGTAATAAAAACAAATGTGGTGGGAGAAACAAACAAACAAACAAATACAGTGAGAATTAACATAATTTTGTGTATGACTACACTTTGTGCTAAAATGGCCCTCACTCGTCATAAATACTAGTAGACCAGTGGACCATGAAAAGTCAAAAAGATCTGGTTTTCTGCCAGTACTATATGGTGAGCGATTACAACCCAGTAAGCCATGCCACCAAAGTGCTTCACACGCAAATACCCAACCCTATAACTATTACGTATCAAATAATGCATGTAATGGAAAATAATGTAAGTAGTGTAAGTGATGTAAGTAAGTAATATAATACCAGCGACTTATTTTTATTTTATTTATTTATTTATTTCAGGCAACTAGGACCCATAGATACATACCTTACAGACTAACATACATATAATATAACAATAATATAATAAAACAATAACAGAAATATTAAATAAATACCTTACGGACTAATCATAATACAATATAACATGATAATATACATATAACACTATTTATTTACACGTATGTACTTCGACGTGTGACGCAACGTGGGTGTCCGGTAGCCGTCCTCGGAAACGCCGGTATATGACACCCTTCGGCCAAAAGTCTTCTCTCATGAAGGTCGACAGGTGTATAGTTGGTACACGCACCACAAATGAATTAAAATTCACATTGTGGCGCGACTCCAACCGCTCGACCCTCAGGTTTGCATTGGCCTTCACTCGCATGTACTCCACAATATCCGCAGACTTGGTGGATTAATGAAGACGCGACACGTATAACAACGTGGTCGGTACCCCTGGACGCAATAAATGATTGATTATTAATCAAGCGTAGCTACATTCGAAAAGTCCCGCGTAAACTTATAAGAATTGTGGTCAAACATTCTCAAACAGGTGCCCAGGATGGTGTGATAGAATCCTACTGTCGCAGTCGGCGCGATTACTCGTTCAAAATCAGGACCCCATTCGGACCGGCGAAAACAAACATCTGCATAATTCCAGGTAGTATTTTTGCTTTGTGTTTCTTTAATTTTCTGGCCTTTGTTATTGAAAGGAGTCACCAGAATTATTAACCAGAATTTTTTGGCCAGAAAAAGCTTTATGTCCATGTAATAAGAACAAAAAAGATTTTTCGAAAATCTCTCACCAGATATCATTAGCGGCGACGAATGCCGAAAGCCAGTACGACAGCTCGGTAACTTGACCTATAGCTCAGTTGGTAAGAGCAATGCTACGGTGCAGCATGGTCGTGGGTTCAAGATCCACCGGGTCGAAAACATTTTTTCTGTGTGTTCGATCTTTGTATTAATATTCTTAACAAAACTAGTCGAGTTATTCCACAAAAAAAATGTCAATAATATGTACAACGAAAATTATTGTTATTATTGTTACAAACATCGAACAAACACAAAGAAAAATTCCTTCGATCCATGTGCATTCGAACCAGCGACTTTTTCGTCAAACCGGATTATCGCTGTCCCAACTGAGCTACGAAAAAGATGTTGTGTTTCGTCCGTCCGATCTGAATGGAAGCAAGCATCGTCTTTGTCGCTCTTATTGCATGAACATAAAGCTTTTCGCAATTCTAACCGCTCGAGCCGATTTCGCTTTAATAAGTGTGGTGGCTCTCGTAGTCGCCATTTTGTTTTCTCCAAAAACCTGAGTAGGTACTGTAGATATAGCATATGATATTTTGCACTTGCTGTGGCTGTTGGCTATACTCTCTCGAAATAAAGATATTTAAATTGACCTTTTAGTTTTTAACAAAAGATCCAATCAATCATTGGAAAGTAGCAAATTAAACGTCACCCACAGAAAATCGATGACGGATTCAACAGACAGCAGTGGTCGAGTATCTTCTTCAGACAGCAGCCCCGCGCGGTCAGGGTCGCCCGCAAGACAGAACCATCAGGTAAGTCACCAACACAATTACTAATCGATGTAGTAATTGGCGCCTTACCTGATTTGAAACTGTTAACTATTTTCTCTTTTAACGATTACCATGCCGGACTGCCATGCAGAGGTCCCAGGTTCAATTCCCGGGCTGCGAGAAATATTTGTATGGCCTACATTTATTTATCTTTTGAGTTTGGGTGTAATTTGTGGTTGTCTGTGTGTGTGTGTCTATGACACCCGCGACACAGGGTTTGCCTAGTGCGGGGCTATGTTGTGTGTGTGTGTTATTATTATTACTTTAGTAACAGTAGAGCTTCTTGTGAAAAAGTTTGTCCAGGGAAGTACTGCCACCTTAAATATTTCTGCCGCCACACAGTAATGTAAAGCATCACTGCGTTCCCGTTTGAAAGGGTAATAGTGCTAGTGAAATTACAAGCACATCACGGTGATTCACGCTCCATACTAAGGCGGTCATAAATACGTAACTCCGAAATTATTATTATTTTTTTATTTTATTACGTTAAAATATGATTAGGTAAACGTAAATTAATAAAATTATACATTTTAAAAAATATTTGACAATATTTAGGTGTAAAAATGTCTCGCAGTAATTTTGTTTTTAGACGATGTATCTAAAACATTTTATACTGCGACTTTTAATGGTAAAACTGTGTAAATAATGATTATTTGTATTAACAATAACCACAAATGAATAAATTAAAACAATAAAAATACATAAAAAAGTTCATTTTACAAAATACAAACAAAACACAAATTATACCAAAATACATTAAATCTCAACAATATTAACTTTAAATACATAACAAGTCTAATACAGCTTTTGACAGTACACCTTTTTTTTTAACAGGTAACTTTCGTAGACCTGTTATGAAGGGATCTGAATGAAGAAGCAGCCTATTTACTAAATCTGTGTTGGTCACAATGCGACTCATTTTACGCGTATGATTTTTTCTAAAAGACTTGATGTATTTGTTAGTCGCTTCAGCTGCTTCTTCAGACAACTCTCCGATTGACAACAAACCGTAATCTATAACATTAGCACCATGAATTAGAACTTTGTGAACGGAAGCAGGCATGTTATACCACGGATACTCGGCAACTAACTGCCGAGCCGTCTCTAAAGCGAACTCTTCGAAGTTCGTCTTATTAATATTATATCCCGAATTTAAACATTGAAGGATGATCCAGCAACGATCTAGGAGATCCTTCTTGATCCCAGTAATTTCAGCGGAAATTTCTGAATTCGAGAAAAACCGCCTGGCTGTATTACCATCGTTTGATGTTCCGCTTCCGCCACTTTTAGGCTTATCCACTATAAGCCCTAATCTTTCTCTAAATTGAGTCTGAACATATGATTTTTTTGCAGCAACAAGCATTTTGTCATTAGCGGACCTAGCTTGCCATTTCCTAACATCTAACTTGTACGCGACATGAACAAAATATTCAAAAAAACGTATTAACGCGTGAAGAGGTGATAAACCAAATTCATATTTACTCTCATCGACTTCCTTATTTAAACATTCGTCAATTTTGTTCATTTCACTGGGCAAGGCGTTACAAATAAAACATTTTGATGAAGAAACACCACTAAGTGCATTACACACTTTACCATCTACCATAGTAAGTTGCAAACAATAAGTAATGCGATATTCGCGATCTTCTTCCTTGAAAACAGTAGGCTGCAAGTTCCTTATTTTATCTTTAAAATGAGCTTCTTCCTCAACTGACACTGCAGTCGATTCCTTCAAATATCGGAGGCGTATAGGACGACAGTATCGAGTTGATGAAGGACGAGGATTTTTCCACAAAACTACTGAATTTTCTTTGTTATCTGTTGTCAAAACAAGCTGAAGTGGCACATACGAAGTAACAAACAGGCTACTGTCTTCAAGAGTGGAGTCAGAAAAACACTGTTTATATTCTGAATGCCCTGTACTGCCATCGAAACCCCATTTCCCTATCAAAGATATCTTATCTAGAGACTCATTAGGTACACTATCCAAAACATCTTTTTGAGACTTGAGAATCCGATTGGCAGTATGATCTAATAAACTTTGAAGTTCGACTTCGGCGGATGATTCTGTAACAGTAATATCTGAAGGATAACAGTGTTTTTTAGATTCCACGACACTTTGGTAAGATGGGAAAATGGTTTTTGAAAACTTATTGTCTATAAATTTCTTTACTAATATATATTGATGTCGAGTTAACTGAGCTTCAACAATGAGCGATAAAACTTCGCTAGAATCGATTTCAGGACAAGACAAGCTATCGGACGCATTGAGCAATGACTGTACAAGAGAAGGGTCTTGGTTAGACAAACTAGCCAATCTTCTCCTTTTTGTACGTTTACTGGTGTCGTCGAAGTTAATTCTCGGACGGCCATGCGATGAAGAAGTTGATGGTTTAACTTCGTCAAAGCTCTGAGATACACGTAACTCAGTTCGCTGTACATCAATATTTTCAACGACATGCAGCCAATCTGAATATTTTTCTAAGAATTTAGATCTAGTACGATTCGACTTTGCCCAGTAGTGGGAAATTCGTTTACAAATATTCTTAATTTTAAGGCTTAAAGTCTCTAAATCAATATTTTCGATGTCGTCAGAAAGGGATGATGTTTCGGTCAAAGTGCTCAGGACGTGTTGCATTTTTTCATTTGGATTACCCACTTTAGAGTGCCAAATATCAAAAATTGTCATCCTCGATACAGAACATTTGAAAAATGTACCTAAAACAATATGAAAGCTGAACTTAAAAAAAAATTAAAAATTCAATACTATGGACATGCATACTTTGACACCCCTTTAAGCCAAGAAGAGGCAGCAAGATGCAAATGAAACTTATAGCTCTTAATAAGGACATACTCCTTATTCAAAAACCATATACCTCAGGTGCAGCTCAGCGCAGCCAAAAGTTGTAGGTCTAAAGGAAATTAAGTTATGCCAAAAATTTTCACCAAAAAACTGCCTTCAATAAAAAAATTATATAAAAAAAAATATGCATAAAAAAAATTAAAAAAAAATTGATAATAAAAGTACATACCATGCTCTTGGATCTCCATGCTTTCACAACACGTAAACACTTGATTTGGAATAGTGACACTCAAAAACAAAGTGATTAAGTTTCGATGACTCACACGTGGTGATAATTAGTCTCGCGATGCGCTCACTTCCGATGCACAAAAGTGAATGATAACGTGACCTAATTACATTGATATTTATAGTTTTTGGAAGCTTGTTAACTAGTTACTAACTTAGTGAGTTGATCTAACCGGGATAAGCCAATGATTTTTTTTGATTTATGGCCTATGGGGGAATCACAGTGCACATGGGACTTGTCAACTTATGTCTCAGTGTGACGGGCGCAGTGGCAGTACCCCTAAAATCTTTGCAATTTAAAGCTCTGAGTGGCACTACAACTGTTACATGGATAAGAGTGTCGCTTGCCACCAGGCACACTATTTATTCGTCCCGTCACTTGGTATTATAAAAAAAAACTAGTCTTAAAATTAGACTGAACTAACTGTAGGAGGTATCTTCAAAATCCATACAACATTCTGCAACTTGAAACCCAGGAAATAAGGTTCAGAGAATATATAGCTCTTCATATTTCAGTCTGAACTTCAGACTGATTACATGGTTAACAAGTCGATTGAAATTTGTATGAAAAGCGCAAATAGACAAATTCGTAGAGTCGTGCAAATGAACTTTGGCTAGCTAATGTAATTTTTCTAAGTTGTTAAACATACCCTGAAAGTTTTGCTTGTAGAACGTTAAAAACCGAAACCAAAGATCTCCAACAAACACATACAAAAATTCATAAGGGCTGTTGGTTCGTTCTGTGGATTAATTTGCAGGTGGGTAGGTGCAGAGGGTGCTGGTTCGAACGAATTTTTCTGAGTATTCGATCTTTGTATTAACAAGTATAACAAACTAGTGGTAGTAATTTCACAAAAAAATAATTGAATATCGTGGCAGTAAAACATCGTCACATTGAATAAACTTAAAAATTACAATTATTAAAGCGACATCAGCGATGGTTACTGTAAACGTACCTCTCAGCGTGAAGAAATAAATTTCTCACGGGTTAAAAAGCCGTTAAAAACCAAAGCCAAAGATCTGCAACAAACATAGAAAAATTCGTAACGTCTGGTGGTTCGTTCTGTGGCTTAATTGGCAGAGCGTCTGACACGGATTGCCTGCGGGTGCTGGTTCGAAAACAGCCGGATCGAACGAATTTTTCATAGTGTTTCGATCTTTGTTATAATCATTATAACAAACTAGTGGAGTAATTTCACAAAAAAAACCGTGGTAGTAAAACATCGTTATATTGAATAAATTTAAAAATTACAATTATTAAAGCGACATCAGCGATGGTTACTGTAAACGTACCTCTCAGAGTGTGTAAGAAGAAAGTAATAGAGTAATGAGTAAAAAAAAATGAAATTCATGGTAATAAAACATCGTGACATTGAATAAACTTAAAAATTTACTTATAGAAGTTTATAGTATGTTTAAAAGAACCCGCACATTTTACTTTACGAATACGACTTTGCAGTGCGTTTCGCTAGGTTTAGTTTTACGCTAAAGCTATCCACGTTAATAAACTTTTCCTTCATTTAGTCGAGCCCTGGGAAGACGCTCGAGAAGAAAAGCAGTGTAGCTGATCTCGATGCTCTGTCCGTACCCGGCATCAACGTCGCCAGAAAGAGCATTGCTGATCCGACGAGCGTCCAGCAAGCTATTAATGCCAGGTACCTATCCGTACAGACATATTTTTTCTTTCTCTTCTAAAACATTATTTTTCAAATTGGAGCGGTGGTATCCCCGGTATTAACTGTCTCCGTGGCCAAACGGTTACTTTGCTGGTCTGCCACGCAGAGGTCCCGGATTCGATTCCCGGGCCGGGCGGGAGAAATATTTTTGTATGGCCTACATTTATTTCTCTCGCGAGTGTAGGTGTACTTTGTGGTTGTGACTGTAATTAACCCGTTTTTGATAACATTGTTATTTTTTATTGTCTCGCTTTCAGAGTAACGGAATCGGAGGGCTCCCCCGTCCGTCGAAAGCTGGTCCGCAACCAATCGGAGGGCTCGCCTTCCCCAGGGGACGGCGTGTCAGCTGAGTTGAGGCGGCTTGTGGACGCGCCGGCGCGACGTAGGGCCGAGTACGGCCTCATGGGGCCCAGCACCTGCATGGGGGACCACAAGGTATGTGCGAACGTTGGTACACCTGGTTATTGCTCGAAGCTTCATACATACTTACCTAATTCCATACCATAGTTATAATAAGACAAGTACTGTAACTCCATACCATCGAGTACATGACCAGAAATAGAGACGAAATGTTATTTAATTTGTTTGGAAACTGCGCCCCGATAGACCAGCCTGAATTCTAAATAATTGACTCGATATTATCGAGTTGGCTCGATATTTCAAAAATTATATCAAATAGTAGACGTGTTTATTGTTGTATTTATGGTTGTTTGAATAAGAGTGTCACAAATTCAGACTAGTTAAGCATTTAATTTCTATTTCATAATCATACCAGAAAACGGGTACAAGTCAAAAAACCCAACGTTACAAGGAGACGCGAAAGACAGTTAAAGCTTAATATGACATTATTAAGCGTTAATGCTCTGGTCACAAAGAGGCGGCCGCGGAAGCGTTCCTGACGCGAGAATGGCCAGGGCATAAGTGTTTTTCGCGTTTCCTTGTAAGTTGTTTTTTTTTACTTGTACCCCTTTCCACTAGAGCCACAGATTTCTCCCCGCGCCTTACTACCTCGGCGAATAGGTATACCGGCTACCATGGACACACACATGGACTACCACAAATTACACTCCAACTCACGAGAGAAATAAATGTGGGCGTACAAATATTGGCCATAAAACTGACGGCCGTTGGGGCAGAAAGATTCTCGAATGGAGATCACGAACCGGAAGGCGTTCAGTGGGACGGCACCCTCTACTAGATGGACGGACGACCTGGTAAGGGCGGCGAGTAACCGATGGATGCCCACTGCGTCCAACCGGCTAGTCTGGCAATCTTATGGGAGGCCTATGTTCAGCAGTGGACGTCTTCCGGCTGATATGATGATGATGATGATACAAATATTTATCTCGGCGCAGGAGTCGTACCCGGGACCCCAGCGTGACAGTCCAGTATGGTTCCGGACCGTTCGGCCACGGAGGCAGTTAAATTGATACAACATAACTGATTAGACATAGAAATCAGGGATGCCGCAAACATTTGCATCTGCATCCGCTTATTTTTAAATATCTCGCATCCGACATCCGAATCAATCGATGCAGACTTTGTGTGGATACGGATGTTTTGCAGGTCACACGAGGCCACCGGGAACAGGACCTACTAAGGCGCGTGCCGAGTACTGGTGCTAATTAGCCATTCAGAGATCGAGAAGTGTAGTACAGGCAACGACCTGTTTGTTTTATAAACAACAAATATTGAGTTTTCATTATTTTATTATTATTTATTTGAATTTAAGAAAAGGGGGGTACAATATATTTAAATAAACATAGTCCTACAAAACTGTATATACAGTTTGACTGCAGGATCGAAATGAGTCTCAATTAAGAAAAAAGTTACAAACTGACACTAATGTTGTTAAAAATACTTAAGCAATATAATTACTAAGTATTCAACAATAATTTGTGAAATAATGACCTTTCAACATTTTTTTAAATTTTTTGACAAAACTATTCGCACAGAGGACGGCCCACAACATCCTTGAAAACTTTAATTATTAATAAATGTCGTAATATTTCTATGCCTTCTATTTTTCACTTCCTTTGTAATAAAATGATGTATAATTATTATCTTTTACTTAAATTAATGATAATTCAATTATTACCAAATCCACAACTATCCAAGTTTATTAAAAAGAAACTTCCCACATCCGCACTTGTAGATTTCAAATATGACAAATTCGCATCCGCGTCCGCATCTGCAGATGACGTCATATCCCATATCTGCGGTAGAAATATCAAAAAGTCACTATTAATACAAGTATAGCAAACTAAGAAACGTGTTATTGATTTTGAACGTACTTGGTTTAGGTTAAGTTTGTGATCGTGACTAACACTCGTAACTTTTTTCACAGCCGATCTACCTCCGCGTGATGCTGCAATGCGACAGAGGTACACTACCTTGCTGCAACCCCAAGATCCCCTGTATACTTTGCGCTAGCGCCGTCCGCATACCCTCTACCCTCTCCCTAAGACACGGAGGGATCAGAGTAGTTAACACCCCTAAATTAACTCGCATACCGACATATCCCGATATTTATGCTATCAAAAAATCAAAAAGCGATGCCTCTTCCAGCCACCCGATTAAATTCGATGACCAAAGACTAAAAAGAGCTAGAACTGGTTCGTTAAATGAAAAGATTTTAAGAATACCGGATGTGGAAATCACTAGTGCCGATTATTCGAGCTACGATGGTATTTTTGTGAACGATATAGATACCACCCTATTAAGTGCGACACGTTGTTTAGATCCTTACACTCCAGAAAGTATCGATTCACACACACCAAATATAGAAGGAGCGTCAAACACCTCTGATCCTGATGATTTGTCGAACGAAATCGTCGATGTATTAGGACCAAAAATCGACATTAAAAGCGTTAAATTAACTCGAGATAGGAGCGTATCGCCTACTCAATTGAAAAGCAGATTGGATATGTTGTTAAACGATCAAGATAAAGTACCACCGGAGTTAGAAAGGCTAAATAGTAGGGAGTCGTGCAAGTCGGATAATAGTAAGAAAGGGGGGTTGTGTTGTTTGGCATTGAAATGCTACGGGTTTTGCAGACGGCGAGCGCGTAAAGTCAAATGCGATTGTAGTGGCTTGAAATGCACTTCCTGATTTTGTTTTCTAGAAGGATGAGGCTGAATTAAAACATAACGATTTCTTAAGAACTTTTTAATTATATATTGACGATAGTTTAAAAAAAATTCAAACAGTGGTGGTCGTAGTGCAACCGCTATTTTGGAAAATTAAATTTGACACTGGTTGAACAGACTTATCCTTGTAGATTTAGTGTTTGACATTGTAATTTGAAATTCGAACGTTGTTGTTGGCTGAATTTGTCTTTCGAAGACTCAACTTTTTTAGTTACACACGAATGAACTTTTATTTTGAAATGCAATTTCACCATAACTGCATTTATTTGTTTACTAAAAACAGTGTTTTTTTATTTGACTTCACATAATTATTGTTTTGTATAACATATACGCTAGGAATGAGATCTGCCACTAATCTAATACCGTATTAGGGTAATTTTCAGGGTAGTTTTCTTTACCTAATTTCAGTGGGAAATTTTATTATTCCAATATTATAGAATATTATCATGAACTATTATTTTCACTCAAATACTTAAATAATAAAAGTAGCCACCGAACTTAGAGAAAACTAACTTGAAAATTACCCGTTTACTTTTTTTTTTTTTTATACCCGTAATAAAAGCAGATTGTCCATTTATACGTCCGCATATATTCACGTCTACGTCAACTTGAAATGATGGACGACGTCTGGGATCTAACGGCGCATATAACCGCTCCTGACGCCAGCGCCAATAAAATAAAAACCACACTTATCCCAACGAGAATGTGTAAATGCGGTATTAAATAAAAAACGTCTCATTTCTGTTATTAAACTTGAGGAATACATTCGCAAATCTTATACCTAGTGTACGACTCTATGTGACTTATTCCACTGTCAAAATGGTTGTAATACTTGATTCGAATGGTATTTTTTGTACCATATTTTTTTTATATCGACGAAAATAGTTTTTATTTGATGTTTACATGCATGAACTTATTTTATATTTTTAAAACGCATGGAATTCATAATAATAATCGGAATTATATTCAATAAGTCGTATTCTTGGTGTAATAAGGCCTCATCCGCAAAATGACCACTTTTCGGCAAAAAAGATTCTTCGAACGAAATTACGACTAATTTCGTTCTCGTAATTATCTAAAACTTATAAAACTTATCTGAAAAAATTTCATAATTTGTTTCAGTTAGTTCTGATTATTTTTATGACTTTCACGTAATAAAAGCTCTTAAGGTATGGTATGTGGCTTTATTATACCAAGCGTACGAAGTGTACTTATGTTATTTAGTCAGCTTAAGTGACGTATTTAATCGTGTGATATATATATATATATAGTGATTTTAATAGGGTTGATGATGAGAGCTCGCTTAACCTTAAAGCGTAGTAGATGCACTCCAATGTCACCTGAAACGGCTTTCTGGTCTAGTAGCATGGCTGCCGTAATATATAGTGACGTAGTCCCATCACGTGAAGAGGCTGTATGGTAGAACCTTTACCTATTCAAATAAATGAGTGAAAACTTATTTAAAAACATTACACTACTTTGACACAACGATATCGGTAACAGATATCAATCTCGGCAGGTGTGCTACGGTTATGTCAATTTTTTTTCTAAGCCGTTGAGAATCATTACTGTTAAAAGTTTGTATTATACAGTTTCTTAGATATATTTTATGAATATTGTAAATAATAATGTGTAAACCCTATACGGACTCTGTTGTAATGATCTCAGTGTTCAAGCCTATCGTAATATCTACATGTTCGACGAAAATCAACCCTCATCACGAAATCGTCGACCGTATGCACATTTGATAACGTCATTAAGATAAGGTTGATTTTCGTCAACGGTACAGTATTTTGATGGGGTTTAACTCTCCAAGTCATTTTTACCTGGTTTTGAGTAAATGTCTTTAAATTATTACAACGAATGTTATTATAACATTCTACATTTTGTGACACTAAGAGGAGTTAGAAAAAACATTCCTACTAGACTTGAAGAAATGATGTGGCAATTATTATTCTAACCACAGTAAAAAAATTGTGCTGAATCTCCTTAGCCAATTTTAATGTGGATTTAACCTAGTCGACGGCATAGCTGTCACAACGTAACGTATGCGATGCAAAAAAAAACCAATGCAAACAACTTGCATCTAAATTTATTTAAACATATTTAATTGTCAATTCTGTTACATAAATTTAAATTACGAAATTCAATCCAAAAAATCGCGAATGGCTCCGAAACTTGCCGGTTTAGGAAATAGTACTGTAGTTATTATTATATATATTTGTTGATGAAAATTCATTATATCGTTATTCTTTAAAACGAAGATTCAACGCTATGAAGTGACAATATTATTATTGTTCCGCTATCTCATGGTTTGAGGCGCGGGATGTGAGGAGGTGGAGCGTCCGACCAGCACCGACGGAAGCCGAACGCGTTCAAATTTAGCGCGATTCGAGTGCGTATTATTGAAGCGTTATATCAATAAATAATAATGAAATTATATCAAATTCTTAAAACAACGTTTTGAATAGTCATGGACGCATGTCTTTGATCCAATTTGCCAAACAGAAAAGCTAAATTTACTTATAAACATACGAGTAAACAACAGAATTGACATCCTTATAAAACTATACTCTTCTAAAAGTATCTTTTCTTTAAAGAAAACCTTTCAAATTATCTTTTCGGTTTTTTGTAGAAATAATTATACCAAATGGTTCAAGTTAATCTAGTCTAGGTAAGCTCAATTGCAATTTAAATGAAATTATCTTTTAATTATTAAATTTTATCCGTCGAACAATTTTAAGAATATTGTGTATTAAAAAAAATCTCATTGATTTTATTATCAACATTACTTAGTTCCTTTGTTTAAAGTTGTATTACTCTAATGCTATGCACACATTGGTCACGAAATAACTTCCACAATATCCTCATTCACCGTAGATAAATTAAGGCAATTAGCGCAAAAGTGGTGTGACCCGCATTTTTGATTTTTCATCTACAATAATACTTTGAACGATAATATAGTATAGTACATAAGTATTTATATTTGGATGCTATTTAAATATATAAAAATAAATTAATAATTTTATATTAGTCATAGTTATTTATTTTGATTACTATTGTATATAATTAATTTGGCGAATTCTAAAATCCTCATTACCGTCTACGCATATTTCATGGGATTACACCACTTTTGCACTGATAGCATCAGTTAATATTCAAAATGGTATTTTTCGTGATATTTTCAATTAATTAAATTGATCTAATAGGAAATGAAACTTTTTTTCGGATCTAAATCGCGTATATTTTTATTTTAATTCAATTGATATTCAATTATTTTTTATGTGAAATTACTCCACTAGTTTGTTATAATTTCGTATATTTGTTTTTTCAAACAAATCAACGCTTCGGGCACTTTACAAGTCCAGTGGTCATGGCTGACTGAGATGGTAAAGTCATCAACCAATGGTGTGTCTAATATTAATGTTTATATTATATTATAGTATTAATGATTTGATTTAGATCCGAAAAAATAGTCTCATTTTCTAGTTGTAACAATCGCGAAAACCTAAGAACTCAATAAAACAGTCATCATAGTCGTCAAGTCAGGAAAAAACAGATTGTAAAATATCTCAGTCACAAAATGCACTAGCTAATTGTGCACGAAAGACATTCTCTGTTGCTTGTCAAAGTCAAATCGATGAGAATAATTTCACTGTTGTAATCGGGTCTCCACGAAAATAGTTATTCGTCAAAATTTTAATAAATTACTCGCGCCAATGTGCACATAGCTTTATTATTCTAATAAACGTTACACTTTGAACAACTTAGTAATTTAAGTCTTACTTAATATGGTAAGGCATCCTATGGTCATGTTAAACATTAGTGTTCTTTTCCATGTAGAATTGAGAGCAATTTAAATAGCAAATATATAGGGTCATTTGAAAATATTAACAACATTGCCGATATTACTAACATCATAAACAACAACTTTTGTTCTATGGGTTTTTACAAAACATAAGAACAATGGCAACATCGTACTTAAAAGAGTTCGTTAGCATCTTTAAATGTCTTAAGTTTGAATAAAATAAATTCATTACATTTTTCAAATTATAATAGCCTATCTAAGTCTGGAAATAAAATCATATTTAAAAGAAACTCTAATGGCGAATTAGTATGTAACCGGACTGATATCTACAACTATCAGTTTCTTAACTCAGTTTTTTGTTATGGCTTAAATTCAAGCCGTTTGACCATACCAGTTTAAAAAATAATTTTCTCTGAACTTTCGTCACCTCACAAACCCACGGCACCATTCGGCTTCTATTACTCTTTTTAAGGCTTCCGTACTTTATTTTGATATTATAATACACCGAATATATTTTATTCAATTACGTAACACACACATAACCTGCAAAACTTCAACCTGGAATATCTCTAATTCCAGATTTCTCAGAACAGTAATCCCGAAACAAAATTTGTCCAGGAATTTCAACTCTATATTTGCACATATGTTTCATAAACAGACGCATACAAATTATGTCAACAAAAATTTATATGAGAGTTTGCCATTGTCCTTTCCATTAAATAAAACTTTTAAGTTTTGTTGTACTATCTGACACTTTTTAGATCTATATTTGGTAGTAAGTTATCTCTCCCCCCTCGTGCGTTTTGCATCGGACTGATATTTACGCTAGCGCTTTGTCTAGTTACTCGCACAGAGTTATCACCGTTTAGATATTTTTATTTTTGTATCTATTTAAATTATTTATTTTTGTATAGGGTCAAGAGCACGTCAAGCTTTACACTTAAGACTCGAACTCTATGCCGCTTACGGTAAGAACGGTCCAAACTACAAAGTGTCAAGCTTGATGTGCTCCTGACTGTATAAAATCTGATGAATCATTAAGTCATGGAACAAAAGTTATTATTTATGATGTTAGTAATATAATCCTGCAAGGTTGATAGTATTTTAGAAAAATAACCATGTGTAGTAGTATATACCTGGCTATGTAAGAATATAGAGTTGTATTTGCTTTTTAGAATGGTCTGACAGCTCATTTTTTAAGTTTACCAGCTTTATAGTTTTTCTTGCATATACAAAAAAAACACTGATTGCAACCTTGAACTGGTTTATCCACATAATAAAATCGTTTATTTTATATTTATACATAATAGGGCTTTGGGTATCGATCTTGAATATTTTGTTAGTCTCGACGAGTTTGTGGCATTTTCGAGACTCGAGAGTAATTAATTAATTAATTAAACAGTATTAAAAGAAATATACTAAACCAACAATCATTATTATTTTGGTTACATGGACATAGCAACACAATAGAGTGAAACTTAGTATAATCTGTGGAGATTGAAGAACTATAGTAATCAAATGTTGAGCACTCTTTCTTTCTAAAAATGAAAAACCTTTTTTAAATATTTTTAATAATCATTGATGATGATTTTTTGTAAATGCCAAGCCTATAAAACGCAAATGAAACGTAACTAAAAATTGTGTATTTATTGAAAGTTAAAAAAAACACTGAATGAAAACCTAAACTTATATTCTCGTTTAAAAATGAATAACTAAATATTATGTATAAATAAAAAAAAATCACATTATTCGCTCGAAGAGCCTTTTATTATTTTTTTGTAACTTTCAAATTGTGTTAACTCAATTCCACCAATTTTTAAGTTTACTGCAAACCAAATATAGGGTTTCAAGTGCGAAGTATGGAAATCTATTTTTGAAATAGTCTCCGAAGTCCCATTTTTGTAGAGATTTTCATCTCAATCTTTTTCCGCGAGACGCAGAAATGCAGCGTGACTGAAAGCCCTTATCCATAATTTGTTGAATCGACTATTTTGTCCTGAGACAACCCATGTGCGAGCGCTTCACGTACTGGATGCCCCTGTAGTAACTGTTCAATATTGGCACACTACTCTGAAAACTAGTTCGTTAATAAGGTTATAATAATCAATGTTGCATGTAGTCATTATATTTATTTATTTATAAGACTGGTCAGTATCATACATTTATGTTAGTTTTGTTCGATTCTGAATGTCATTATATCAGTACAGCATCACGTCTGGTCCGAATGTTTTGGCCCTCCGAGTCAATGGCTTTCCATGGTACTTATAGCCAGTTGATCGGGAGAAAGACAGTGGCAGTAATATTGTCTTTCTGGTGGTATTGTCGAAAAATAACAGGAAAGACATCGAAAATGTAGTTTAAAGGGCAACACTGCCATTAATTTGGCAGATAATTAGCACAAACAGGTGCTTAAACGGCAACACCGAACTAATTTGCAAAAATGGTGACTGCGAACAAGGACACCGAGGCCCATTATATCTCTCGCGGACCAATTTACCATAATGAAAATTATTCAACTGGTCTCGCTTAATTTTTAATTATATTTAAATTAAACCAAAGTGTAATCATATGATGTGAATAAAATTCCATTAGCACTATTATAAAGTCAACACAAATAAAAATAATTGTGGTGACGTCGTGACAAAATTGTCAATAATGAATAAATTACCTTAATTTGCAGCGTTGTTCGACAATAATGACATTTCGAATCATAGTCTTTAAGTAGAGTTGTAGAGTTATTTACCACTAACAGCAACTTCAGTAACACTTGTACGGAATATATCTTTAATTGATGAGTTTACTTCGTAATTTCTTCCTTAAATTGAGACAAAGTTCTTTTTATAAATACGACAAACTTGCTTAGGGCGCCTTCAAATTAGACGCCTAAAGAAGTGCTATAGTGGCACTACTATGATGCAACAGTCACGCGTTATGTCTTTCTTCACTAATTGTTACTGCAAAAGTGTCACGCACGCGTGTCACGATAGTTGTGCTGCTACTGCGCTTCCAGATATTGTATGAAAATCTGTAACGTTTCTATAAGCATCTAACTTGAAGGCGCCCTTAGATCACAATTTTTGCTTATTCAAAGTCAAAGGTCGTTTTATATATCTCAGTCTATGACTTATTCACTAAACAATTATTCTAGAAATTCTAACATAGCGTGCTTTTTACAACGTCGTGACCTTTTTAATTTCTGGGCATAATCATAGCTGTTTTACGCCCCATAGTCACGGATTGATTGGCAAGAGGCAGATGACATCTTAAAAGACAGACTTATAAGTATACCTACTTACTCTCTTTCACTGAGCGTGAACCCGCGTACTTTGAAGCGGTGTTTTGAAGGGTGTCAACCCTTCTAAAATATCAGAAGAATAAAAGCGATACCGTGATAATGAAACCTATTGCTACCTAAAAAATTCTTGATTGTCTATGCCAATGTCCGATGAATTAAAGATACACACTATACTTATGAAGTATGTTACGACAGCGGTTTTAAACTGAAATATCGTTCCACAAACATGCGGTACTGAAGCTTGTTGGCAAGTGTAATTTGACTCTTAGGGTCGTATTCCAGAACTCTACTCAATGCTTAAGTCAGGACTTGCGATTTGATTTGATTTCAAGCACTGGAAATACGCCCCCATGGCAAGGACTTGAGTATGATTTCTAGTGCTTTAAATCATACTCAAATCCTGACTTGAGCATTGAGTAGAGTTCTGGAATACGACTCTTAGTGCGTAGTCATCTGGGCTGCAATCCGACTGCATTGTTACAGCAAAATAGCAGCTTTGCACATTAGATACAGTCGGCAATACTGCTTAATTGCAACGGTATCAGAACTGCCGACTTCGTACAGCTGGCTCACGTTAGTTGCACGCCAGTTACAGTTGCGCTAAAACACGGCAGTTTTGTTCCAGCTAACGTGAAGTCACGTCAGCTGTATTCAAACTGAATGACTGCTATTTCGCAGTTGAGATGCAATCGAAATGCTGCTCATACAACTACTCGTTTTAATGTAGATTTTCGAGCAACGCGTTATTGATGCTGCGGCAGAGTATCTATCATTTACTACAGAACCATTTGACCAACTCGCGCAGATAGGCGGTCCTAGATAAGATTAACCTCTTATGACTGAGAGCGGGGACATACGGTCACTTTTAGCAGCTGTACAAACGCGGGATTGCATCGCGACACTAGCATTTATAGGCATTCGCATTTGAATTATGCAAATTCGCGATTGAATTATGCAGTTGCTTATGTTGAATCATTAAGAACACTGAACACGCACACTCCAAACACCGCTCTAAACACTGATCAGCACAACACTGTGGTCTGCTTAAGGTCTGATCAGAGCCAAAATTACAAAAGCAAGAATGTATCTTTATTTATAATAAGGGTTCAAAATTGATTCTAGTTTGGATGTTCTAAGTTCATTTTGTTGGGAGTTCCCTACGTTGAAACTAGGCAATTGGTGTCGTTGTTAGATACATTATTGTAATTTGTTCCTAACAATCTGCCGCGACAACGTCACTCATGCGCTGCTCGAAATATACCATTAATTCATCATGTTTTAGTCTAACTCGTTGAGTTATGTTGTTATACCCACTTAAAAAGTATTTAATTGTAACAAATAATAAAATTAATAGAATAAAATATTGCATAGTGTGTCGTGGTGCTTGTTTGTCAATAAATATTTGTGCACTTTGTGTTCAATTTTTTGTGCTTTTTATTTAATTTCCATGTTTTGTCGTATACTCTGTTGATAATGTCATTTTTTAAATGATTGATTAAATGTTATGAATTAACTAAAATGCAAACCGTTTGTAAATATTAGGACCTTAACTACATTTTGATTCGTTAGGATTAGTTTTCAATGATTGATTTGGAATAACCAAGTTTAACAATTTTGCCTGCTAGCTGTAATGACTTAAGACTTTTAATTTTATTTTTAGGTTTAATCTAATTATTTCTCGTTTTTAAATATTATTTTGTGCATTGTGTTTCCTTTGTGTAGATCGTTGCGCTTTGCTTGTAAGTACTTTTGTAATTATTTCCTGCTTATTGTGTAGTTGTTGTTTTGCTTATAATATTTGAATTCCGTTAAGCACTTAACCAAAACTTGACATAAAAAATGTAATCTCACATTAACTTTTTTAACGTATTTTTTCCTAAAGTAGTAAGCTGTAAAGACGATTACAACTTTAGAACTGACAAATTAACTAAAATATTTATTAACCTATATGTATAGCGAACTCAGTAACTATGTTTACATTATCCACAGGGAATCTTCGTCAAGAATATCACCAAGAAACTTCTCCAAAACACTCAAAAACTGAAGAACACGAGTCCCACACGGAGTCAGTTGCTGGATCACCCACATCTCGCTACATTCATTTCAATTTGGACAGTCCTAACAGCTTGTTTAAGGAAACTGATATATAAAATTTTGTAAGTACTTATCTATCTTACGTCCTGCTGAATAACTGTTGCAACTTGCATTAGCCAAATTATTCAGGACAACATAAATTCTCTTACCATAGTATAATGAGACAAGTAGGTCAATTCCCGCCTGCTCGCCGCGTAAATGCCTACACTTCCCTCCGAGCGTAGGGTTGGCACATTATTTTAGTTGTAACTACAGGTTATAACATAATTTGAAAAAATAACGTGTTCATCACAGTATTCTCGTGCTATATTCAAATAAAATGCAGTACTTAGGTAATGAATATTAATATATTTATATCAACATCGGGGATTGTTATCTCGATTATGGGCGTTTGATTATGAAATAGAAATTAATTGCTGAACTATTCTGAATTTGAGATACTCTTGTTCAAACAACCACAAACTTTTTTAATACCGAGCGAACGATTCAATTCTGTAATAAATCGCGGGTGCGACCACCGGTGTATGTAACGCAAGTACACCGCGACATTAGGCGAATATGTGCGTCTGTACACGGCGAGCGGCGGGCGTGCACACATACAAGCCGCGATACGACGTTTGTATGGAGTTACCATACTTGTCTAATAATAATACACGGTCTTACCCAGTTGTCAGATGTGGTAGCTAGGAGATGAGGAACAAAATGGCTGTGGCGGGCCAAGTATAAAAAGTATGTTCGGCAAATAAGAACGACGTTTTTTATACTATATTATTAGTTGAAATCGATAAAAAATATCGTCTTTCTATACTGTACTTAATTATTTTATTTTGTGTGAGAATCTATCTATCTCTATAAATGGCCTTATTCCCATTGCCTAGGCAAAAGAAGAAGGTGAGAATGTATGGCCCGCCTCCGTAGCTGTACTTATAGAAATAATTTAATAATGCTCGCCAATTGTACGGTTTTAGGTTCAGTAGACCGGCAAGAAAAAAAGCAAATTATATTTTTCACTAGAATAATGATCAAGTTTAGCCGTTTAATTGGCCATTTCTTATTTCATCGTTACAGTTTGAAGAATAACAGATCAGGGCTTCATTGAAGAATCTGGTTAGAGCGCATCATTTTAAAATATTTTTTGCACACGTATTAATGTCTCATTTTTTCAATAATGTCGCTTACCAGATTCTGACATTACTCTTTGTTGATTAAATATGTCGTCTTTTTAGGTCGTATGATCTTGACAAAATTACAATTGTGAAAATTTGGTTTTTAAGGGTTGGCGCTCGCTCTTCAGCACCGCGTCCATAGATCAACACTCATCGGTACCGCGTCCATATTAAGGGTGTGTTGTGTTATGTATGTAAGGAATATTAGCATATTTCAGCATCAAGCGTGCTGATAATACCGTATATAAAACACACGTTTATTGTGATCGTGCGTGCTGACAAGTGCGACCCAACTCTTAATACGTAACTACTTATAACATAGTAAGAATACTCTAGTGTTGCTTTTTTGACATTCCATGAGGTTTATTAACTATCTATTTTATCTGTGTATAGTGATTGTGTTAAATATTTATATTTCATATAGACTGTAGAGATTACCTTGATATGGCGGTAGATAACGTCATTTTATTTAGAAATAGCCAAACATACATGCAGAGGAATAAGTTTAGTACTCATCGTCATCATCTCAGCCCGTTGACACCCACTGCTGGGTATAGGCCTCCTCTTTTGTCAGCTCAATCTCATCCACAATCTTCCGGCCACCCCGACGATATCGTCCGACCATCTAGCCTAGGTCAGCCTCGAGGATGTCTCGCTCCTACCGGGTATACCACTCAGTGACCGCCTTGGTCATCGGTCGTCGTCCCGCCAAGCAACGTTCTGCCCATTTCCAATTTAGACTGGCGATCCGCATACTGACGTCTACGACCCTTGTTAGCTGTCGTATCTCCACATTAGGTATACGGTCGACAAGGGAAATGCCGAGCGTGGTGCGCGCCATTGCACTTTGTGCTAGTCTGATTTTGTGCATATATTCCTCTGTGACCGGCAATGTCTCTGCACCGTAAGTAAGTATGGTCAGGACGAAATGGTTATAAACTTTAGTTTCCAGGTTTTCCAAAGTACTAAAACCGAGAAATTCAATAATATATTTGGTAGTACAATAATCGATGTAAAGTGCCATTTTCCACTAAGAGACTACCACCACCGCGAGCGACCGCAGTTGCAGCGGTTAGTCTTAACTCCTAGTCGCGGCCACGTCATGCTACATGACTTACATGAATTAATTTGAATAAATAGAAATCGCGCGCGGCCTATCACCCACGTCTAACCACTTAGTGAAAAATGCGTGTTAAAATAATACTAAGGAGCCTGATTCACCGGGTCTAGCGCATTTTCTAAACTTAAGCAATCGGCGGTTGACTCTACAGTCAATAGGCAATCGGACAAAAACCATAAAAAAATCTAAAACGTAGTTACAAAGAATTTTGTATAATAAAAACGATAATTCAATCAATAAACTAAATCTGAATACCGTAATATTTTTAATCTGTTATGCACATACTAAACACAACGTGACGTCATATGTAGTTAAGCAAAGAAACGGCACCGTAATCACCGTTCGCGGTAATCTTACGTTTTTTCTTCGTTTAATAATTTTTTTTACTAAAAACTGCAAATTTTAGATTGAAGATTGATTTGGATTCTAAAATCCCCGTCACACACGAGTTCCGAGTTGACAACTGCCTTTTAAGCGGCAATTTACTTTTAATTACGTAAGGACTTGAAAAACTTTATTTAACTAAATAATATATTTCTTGGATGTACATTTCTATGTCAATGTGAATTTTAAATACTTTCGAAAGGTATCAGATTGATATTGACTCACTTGTTCGTTACATATTCAGTTAAAGATCGAAAAATAACTAGACTACCATTCCTTTATGTATGTTTGGTTATTTCTAAGATTCGAGAGATTTCTTTAGGACTTTATATTTTAGCTTTAGGTACAGGTAATGTTAAATGTTGTGAAAATATTTAACGTCTTCCGTAAAAGAAATCTGTGCGTCATCGTAATGCATAATATCCTATCTAGTCGTTTGTTCGTTTCTAAGTTAGATTTATATATATGAATCTCTAGTTAGGCAGAATTTCTGTAGTTTTTGGATTCTCAACTATATGTCTATCATTTTTGAACTTAGTAAATAATTTAAGTCTTTGAGTACCTGATTGTGAAGGTTTTATTTTATTAGTTATTATTATATATTTAGAGCGCCTTCAAATTAGACGCTTGGAGAAGCGCTGCATGAAAATAAGTAGTGGCGCGGCTGCAGCGCCACAGTGGCGCCACTGTAGCGCTTCTATAAGCTTCTAATTTTAAGGCGGCCTTAGTTATAGGTAAATGAAAAAAAATCGCATCAAGGGTGGTCCAACATGACATCGTAAGACTCCATAGTAATTGTTGAGTGATTTTCCAAAGCTGACCATTATTGAGGCGTTGTCGTTTTAGGAAAATTGTGTTTGCCTGAAACCCTAGTATTACTCGTATTTCTCACTATAATATTTATTTATAAAAACTTTTTGTAATAATTTTCAAACAACTATGAAAATAAACCAAAAATCGTGACGTAATATTCTTAATTTTTACGTACCGAAGTTTTATCTTAAACTCTCGTTAATTTTTCTTAATAAACAAAAATGAATAAGTACTATAATTTATTAGCCAGGATTAATATCACAGGGTAAATTTCATTTTGATATTTTACTAAAATGCCATTGTTTTAAAAAATACAAACAAAATTTAGAATAGTAGATCAATATACATTTGTTTACGAGATCCGTATTTTATTATAAAAATATATTTGCTATTGTATTTATCCCATTATTTATATTTAGCAATTAAATACATTTCAGAGTAGGTGTAAATAAGGCTACGATTAAAAATACACAGTAAAAATGTTTGTTACACTACCCACTATAAATTGAAACGGCGCCATTAGAAGCTATAACAAAATTAAGTTGACATGACATTTACAATGGTTGTATACAGGTATATTTGTAAAATACTAACAAGCTCGTAAGACTATATTACTAACATTATAAACAATAACTTTTGTTCATTGACTTAATAATTCATCAGATTTTACTTCCGAACAAAAATATTTAAATATAGTCTATCTTTTTTAAAGATGGAGTAAAATGACAGTTCATTGCGCAGTGTTGCGAGCTTACAAGCAGCTAGAGATTTCAGTCGATAAATATTCTATCGACTATCCACTGAATGTTGTTTAAGCATGCAATAAATAGTTGAATTTGTTTCATTTGAATCATCGTCGGCTCATTATTCTTCGAACTGCTGGGTACAAGGCAAAATAGGTTCTTTTGAATTATACATTTTTGCAAGTATTACTTATATACACAACATTTGGAACTATTTCTATGTATAAAGAGGAGATATATTTTAAAGTTTTTCATTTCTATTCAATAAAGATAATCAAATCCACATGTTCTTGTTAAAATGTATGTATGAATAAATATTTATTTTGATACACGAATAAGAATGAAGAAGACAATAACACAATTAGAACATCGTAACATTCACAATTCAGGCATTTTTGGCATTCTTTCACATTCTAATATAAGAAATAAAACAGTCGACAGCAAATACATGACTATTTAAAATTTTATAAAAACTGGCAACCCTACAAATGTCATTTTACTCCATCTTCAAATAAGACCGATTATAAATCCCTCTAAACGGTGATAACTCTGTGCGGTAACGAAAGAAAGCGTTAGCGTAAATAGTAAATACCTGTCTGAAGAGGATTGCAGGCTTTAACTTACTACCAGACACAGATCTAAAAAGTATCAGATATTACAAACAGAACCTAAAAACATTTTTAGCCGACTTCAAAAAAGGAGGAGGTTATACGTTTTATGTATGTTTTCAGATATCTCTGTCAATTGTAGGCCGATTTTAAAAATTCTTTTTTGTTTGAAAAGGTGCACTCTCGTGGTGGTCCCATTGTCACCAACTCAAAATCTGATGAGGGCATCTCATGAAAATCGAAGGAAATCCTCAAATTTTATAGGCATGTCCGTGTATTCACCAATTTCTCCATCAATTGTGGACCGATTTTGAAAATTCTTTTTTTTTCAAAGGGTATAATACTATTGAGGTGATCCCTGATGCTGGTCCGGATTCGTTTCGGCTATCACAAATTACTAATTATTTTCTGCAAATAAAAGTCGACTTTTCACTTGACATAATACAAGTAATCAACAAATCACTGTCACCATGACAAACAGAAAAGAAAATACAAAATGTACAAAGGAGTCCGTAACAGTCCCATTGTCACCAAGAAGTCAGAATCTGATGAGCGGTTCCAAGGAAATAGAAAAAAATTCAGTGAAAAAGTTACAATTATGATAAAATTATTATATTTTGTAAAAAGTCGTGGAACAACAAGTTGTTGTGGATATGTTAGTAATATACTCCTGGTAGGTTGTTAGTATTATACAAATAACCCTGTATGGTGCGCAGTGTGGTCGTTCATACGCATATTTATATTTAATTACCAATTCAAGTATTTGTGACAACGCCATTGTAAACTATTTTTATTTATACAATAATGTGTCTATAAAATATTTACTTACGTTTGTAAGTTTAATACAAAATTAATTAAAAAACTACTACTACTCCTTACATACAGGTTGAATTTTAATTAGTGACAATAATAACGTTTTCTTTACAGCTCTATAACCAATTTATTACAAATGCAAGATGTATGCAACAAATGCAAGTACCACACTGTCCATAGAACATATTACAAGTAACAAATTTGCAGTCACTATATTAAAAGCAATCTTGTATGTATTTAAAGTTTTTATAGTTACGTTCGCCTCGATACGGTCAATCGCAAACTGCAATTTATTTTAGTATAGTAAGAAAGCAGGAGATTTAAATTTAGATTAGGCAGCTAACAGATTGACTGCATGTTTGCAGTTAATCTGAGAACTCAACTGCATGAAGGTAATAACGACTTCACGCATTAACTGCATGAAGTGATCTCGACTGCATGAAGTTGGTTACGACTTCACGTATTAACTGCAAACATGCAGTCAATCTGTTAGCAGCCTTAGAGGTTTGACATTTTCTCCTTATAAGAATTTATAATGCTAAAGAATTTATAATTCTAATAAGACAGCTCCTTATATGAACTTAGTTGTGACACCAATACACGCCGTTTATGCAGAGGTCTATGAGTATCGACAAAATTGACAGCTGTAGAATCAAGTAACAGGACGAACAAGTCATGTGCCTATGCATAGCAGTTGTAGTGCCACTCAAAGATTTAAATCGTTAAGATTTGAGGGGCGCTCACACTGTGCCCGTTACCCTGAGACACAAGTCCCATGTGCCTGTAATTATACCAGCACCCAATGGGAACACAATAATGCTTACAAGCTTTACGAGTAACGGCATAATTCCTATTTTTAATGTATATTTTAAATAAAATTCATTGTGCGTTTGCCCACATCGAAGCTTTAACACAAAGTATGTATTAATGATACTAGGTCAAATAAATATGGCTAACTATTATAAATCACATTTTAAATGTTAAATATCACATACATAAAAATTTGAGAACATTTATTTAGATGTTAAATAAAATTTAATCAAATTAAATTAATGTATATAAATATTTAAATGAATAAATGTTGCACATTTGAAATCTAATTTTACAAATCTAACATAGGGCAATAATTTATTGTACCTACTGGTATAAAAACTAAATACATACATTTAAATTTTAAATTTGTGCAACAAAATCATAGAAATTAACTGTTATTTTAGATGTGCTATTAGTGGAATGCCGTTTATTAAACATTACTTATTGCATATAACTATGGTATAATTATATTACCTTTAAAACCAAGTCTTATGATAAATCGTAATGTGTGAACACCAAACCCTAGTTTATATAATCACTGGTACCTTTGTACTTACCTGTGTACCTTATTAGTGTCCAGAGCGGCACAAATATTATTGTATACGGGCTGGGGGATATCCTGTAGATGGCGTGGCTTCTATTGTACCTATAAACATTTCTTGCCCTAAACTAATTTTAAGATTAATTTACAGTTTAAAAAAATGTGACAAGTTCAACCCGACCGCAATACATGTAGTTCTATCAAAAGTTTTTCTGTATTAGTACGCTGACAAAAACAATTCATATTTCAAATAAGTCAAAATTATGAAAAAAATAACTAAAACACACTCGAGTAATGTTTTTGTTTTCGTAACGGTAGCAAGCGGACGAGGGCGGGATGACGCTAGATGAAGTGGGAGGGGAATCGAAAATGCAGATATTTCGATCAGTAGGGCTAGCACGACCGTGTCTTACTAGCCCATCGAGTATATAACCAGAAATAGAGGCGAAATATACATTATACCATACATTCCTGGCAACTTATCAGTGATACTCGTACATCACTTATAAATATCAACTCTCGTTTGCACTGAAATATAGACAGCGCCAACAACTGACCTGTGTGTACGTCTCCGTATATTCCAAATATCTGGTTATATACTCGGATGTACTAACCCTACAAGTTGCACTTCCTGTTTTCAGAAAACGGATAAATAGGTTATGGTCCTTAGGTTATGGCATTAGTACTGCAATCGTGATCCGTACAGGGGACAGTAGTGGTC